ACACCTGTAGTCTGTGTTCTGATGATCTGCAGTGCACACCTGTAGTCTGTGATCTGATGATCTGCAGTGCACACCTGTAGTCTGTGATCTGATGATCTGCAGTGTACACCTGTAGTCTGTGATCTGATGATCTGCAGTGTACACCTGTAGTCTGTGATCTGATGATCTGCAGTGCACACCTGTAGTCTGTGTGCTGATGATCTGCAGTGCACACCTGTAGTCTGTGTGCTGATGATCTGCAGTGTACACCTGTAGTCTGTGATCTGATGATCTGCAGTGTACACCTGTAGTCTGTGATCTGATGATCTGCAGTGTACTCCTGTAGTCTGTGATCTGATGATCTGCAGTGTACACCTGTAGTCTGTGATCTGATGATCTGCAGTGTACACCTGTAGTCTGTGATCTGATGATCTGCAGTGTACACCTGTAGTCTGTGTTCTGATGATCTGCAGTGTACACCTGTAGTCTGTGTTCTGATGATCTGCAGTGCACACCTGTAGTCTGTGATCTGATGATCTGCAGTGCACACCTGTAGTCTGTGATCTGATGATCTGCAGTGTACACCTGTAGTCTGTGATCTGATGATCTGCAGTGTACACCTGTAGTCTGTGATCTGATGATCTGCAGTGCACACCTGTAGTCTGTGATCTGATGATCTGCAGTGTACACCTGTAGTCTGTGATCTGATGATCTGCAGTGCACACCTGTAGTCTGTGTTCTGATGATCTGCAGTGTACACCTGTAGTCTGTGATCTGATGATCTGCAGTGTACACCTGTAGTCTGTGATCTGATGATCTGCAGTGCACACCTGTAGTCTGTGATCTGATGATCTGCAGTGCACACCTGTAGTCTGTGATCTGATGATCTGCAGTGCACACCTGTAGTCTGTGATCTGATGATCTGCAGTGCACACCTGTAGTCTGTGTGCTGATGATCTGCAGTGTACACCTGTAGTCTGTGATCTGATGATCTGCAGTGCACACCTGTAGTCTGTGATCTGATGATCTGCAGTGTACTCCTGTAGTCTGTGATCTGATGATCTGCAGTGTACACCTGTAGTCTGTGTTCTGATGATCTGCAGTGTACACCTGTAGTCTGTGATCTGATGATCTGCAGTGTACACCTGTAGTCTGTGATCTGATGATCTGCAGTGCACACCTGTAGTCTGTGTTCTGATGATCTGCAGTGCACACCTGTAGTCTGTGATCTGATGATCTGCAGTGTACACCTGTAGTCTGTGATCTGATGATCTGCAGTGTACACCTGTAGTCTGTGATCTGATGATCTGCAGTGTACACCTGTAGTCTGTGTTCTGATGATCTGCAGTGTACACCTGTAGTCTGTGTCTGATGATCTGCAGTGTACACCTGTAGTCTGTGTCTGATGATCTGCAGTGTACACCTGTAGTCTGTGATCTGATGATCTGCAGTGTACACCTGTAGTCTGTGTTCTGATGATCTGCAGTGTACACCTGTAGTCTGTGATCTGATGATCTGCAGTGTACACCTGTAGTCTGTGATCTGATGATCTGCAGTGTACACCTGTAGTCTGTGTTCTGATGATCTGCAGTGCACACCTGTAGTCTGTGATGCTGATGATCTGCAGTGTACACCTGTAGTCTGTGATCTGATGATCTGCAGTGTACACCTGTAGTCTGTGATCTGATGATCTGCAGTGCACACCTGTAGTCTGTGATCTGATGATCTGCAGTGCACACCTGTAGTCTGTGTGCTGATGATCTGCAGTGTACACCTGTAGTCTGTGATCTGATGATCTGCAGTGTACACCTGTAGTCTGTGATCTGATGATCTGCAGTGTACACCTGTAGTCTGTGATCTGATGATCTGCAGTGTACACCTGTAGTCTGTGATCTGATGATCTGCAGTGTACACCTGTAGTCTGTGATCTGATGATCTGCAGTGCACACCTGTAGTCTGTGATCTGATGATCTGCAGTGCACACCTGTAGTCTGTGATCTGATGATCTGCAGTGTACACCTGTAGTCTGTGATCTGATGATCTGCAGTGTACACCTGTAGTCTGTGATCTGATGATCTGCAGTGTACACCTGTAGTCTGTGTTCTGATGATCTGCAGTGCACACCTGTAGTCTGTGATCTGATGATCTGCAGTGTACACCTGTAGTCTGTGATCTGATGATCTGCAGTGTACACCTGTAGTCTGTGTTCTGATGATCTGCAGTGTACACCTGTAGTCTGTGATCTGATGATCTGCAGTGTACACCTGTAGTCTGTGATCTGATGATCTGCAGTGTACACCTGTAGTCTGTGATCTGATGATCTGCAGTGTACACCTGTAGTCTGTGATCTGATGATCTGCAGTGTACACCTGTAGTCTGTGATCTGATGATCTGCAGTGCACACCTGTAGTCTGTGATGCTGATGATCTGCAGTGTACACCTGTAGTCTGTGTTCTGATGATCTGCAGTGTACACCTGTAGTCTGTGTTCTGATGATCTGCAGTGCACACCTGTAGTCTGTGATCTGATGATCTGCAGTGCACACCTGTAGTCTGTGATCTGATGATCTGCAGTGTACACCTGTAGTCTGTGATCTGATGATCTGCAGTGTACACCTGTAGTCTGTGATCTGATGATCTGCAGTGCACACCTGTAGTCTGTGTGCTGATGATCTGCAGTGCACACCTGTAGTCTGTGTGCTGATGATCTGCAGTGTGCACCTGTAGTCTGTGATCTGATGATCTGCAGTGTACACCTGTAGTCTGTGATCTGATGATCTGCAGTGCACACCTGTAGTCTGTGATCTGATGATCTGCAGTGTACACCTGTAGTCTGTGATCTGATGATCTGCAGTACACACCTGTAGTCTGTGATCTGATGATCTGCAGTGTACACCTGTAGTCTGTGTTCTGATGATCTGCAGTGTACACCTGTAGTCTGTGTGCTGATGATCTGCAGTGTACACCTGTAGTCTGTGATCTGATGATCTGCAGTGCACACCTGTAGTCTGTGATCTGATGATCTGCAGTGCACACCTGTAGTCTGTGATCTGATGATCTGCAGTGTACACCTGTAGTCTGTGATCTGATGATCTGCAGTGTACACCTGTAGTCTGTGTTCTGATGATCTGCAGTGTACACCTGTAGTCTGTGATCTGATGATCTGCAGTGTACACCTGTAGTCTGTGATCTGATGATCTGCAGTGTACACCTGTAGTCTGTGTTCTGATGATCTGCAGTGTACACCTGTAGTCTGTGTTCTGATGATCTGCAGTGCACACCTGTAGTCTGTGATCTGATGATCTGCAGTGCACACCTGTAGTCTGTGATCTGATGATCTGCAGTGTACACCTGTAGTCTGTGATCTGATGATCTGCAGTGTACACCTGTAGTCTGTGATCTGATGATCTGCAGTGCACACCTGTAGTCTGTGTGCTGATGATCTGCAGTGCACACCTGTAGTCTGTGTGCTGATGATCTGCAGTGTGCACCTGTAGTCTGTGATCTGATGATCTGCAGTGTACACCTGTAGTCTGTGATCTGATGATCTGCAGTGCACACCTGTAGTCTGTGATCTGATGATCTGCAGTGTACACCTGTAGTCTGTGATCTGATGATATGCAGTACACACCTGTAGTCTGTGATCTGATGATCTGCAGTGTACACCTGTAGTCTGTGTTCTGATGATCTGCAGTGTACACCTGTAGTCTGTGTTCTGATGATCTGCAGTGTACACCTGTAGTCTGCGTTCTGATGATCTGCAGTGTACACCTGTAGTCTGTGTTCTGATGATCTGCAGTGCACACCTGTAGTCTGTGATCTGATGATCTGCAGTGCACACCTGTAGTCTGTGATCTGATGATCTGCAGTGTACACCTGTAGTCTGTGATCTGATGATCTGCAGTGTACACCTGTAGTCTGTGATCTGATGATCTGCAGTGCACACCTGTAGTCTGTGTGCTGATGATCTGCAGTGCACACCTGTAGTCTGTGTGCTGATGATCTGCAGTGTGCACCTGTAGTCTGTGATCTGATGATCTGCAGTGTACACCTGTAGTCTGTGATCTGATGATCTGCAGTGCACACCTGTAGTCTGTGATCTGATGATCTGCAGTGTACACCTGTAGTCTGTGATCTGATGATATGCAGTACACACCTGTAGTCTGTGATCTGATGATCTGCAGTGTACACCTGTAGTCTGTGTGCTGATGATCTGCAGTACAGACCTGTAGTCTGTGTGCTGATGAACTACAGTGTGTGCCTGTGGTCTGTTCAAATGATTCAGCAATGTATGCTTTGTGTATAGCTATAAACTGTTCTAATTATTCAACAATATGCTTATAGACTGTGTTCCTCTGATTCTTCAAAAATGCAACAGAATTAAAACTTACACATCATTCATTGGGAATTTAGACTATGAGCCAGATAACAGAATTATAAAATGATGAGTTTTATGAATTATACTACCTTACAATTATTTGGACCTTATCATTATTGCCGAGATATTTGGAGAAGAAATGTATAATACACAAACTTCTGAATGGTGCTAAGGGGAAAGGGGAACAAAGAAAGTGTTACAAAACATTTAAATTTTTATTTTTATCTATAAATCAGCTAAATAAAGCTGAAAATTCATAGTTAACATAGAGCTCATATGGGAACTCATGGTAGTGTTCTTTTATGTTTATATGGTACTTTCAAAATAAAAATTAGGATATCAATAATTGTAATCAATATCAACTAGTTTACCTATAGTAGATATCTTCTAGTTTTCTGAAGTTCTTTTTTAGTGAATTCAGTACACTTTGTCAAATTAAAGAAAATAAGTTTTTGGCTGATAATATTCTGTCTCTGTAGAAAATAAGTTATTTACAGTTATTAAATCATATACGCACAGGTCCTTCATTTCATTGATTTGTCCCAGAATATTTTAAGAGTTTTAGAAACGTTAGCAGACTATGACACACAGTAAGATGCCACAACCTTTTAAAGTTAGTGCTGTAAGGGAAATACCACCCATACCCGCAGAAGCAGTTCTGTGGCCACGTCCACCTTCAGGCTGAGGAGGTCCTGCAGGCGCAGAATTGACCCTTGATGCTGCACAACTGTCCTGTGTTCCAGGTCACACAGCGGAGTTTCCAGTAAAATGAGCTTCAGCTTCTCAATCAACTGCAGTGTAAAGATTATTGTATCACTCACCTGGAGACGTGGAACGGGTGGCCCATCACTTTCAGATGGAGAAACCCTTTCCTGTCTTCTACAATTTAAGCTCACAGAGAAAGAAGATATTTCTTCAAAAGAACCCCCTTGCAGGTTTCCCACCCTGTGGGCACAAAGCTCTCAGTAGCCAGGAAATCATTTCAACTCCCCCACATATTTTGCCCTGTGCGTTTCTTCGTCTAGCTGTTTCTACCGGGCGTAAGTACCAGTTTTCTATGTTTAGGGAGCCATTGCAACAGAGCATCTCATCCGAGAGAGTGAAGGGAGCTCTATTTAGAGTTTCGTTGTTCAGAAGTAGACATTACCTAGGGGATGGTTGGAAGGCACGCACAGGCTTGTGGATTAACCACTTAACACACAGGGATGATGCCACTAACTCTACGTAGTTAGAGTGAGCACTACTGCAGGCACCCGGTTGGTATCGAGAGGAAAATCGGTGTGTGTGTGGGGAGGAGTGGTTCTCATACACAGAGGTGTGTGGTGTCAGAAGTGTTCAAAGTCTGTATCTCTTCTTGGAACTTGCTGGGCTCCATGGACGAGAGGATCCCTGTCTTTCAGTTCCGGAAGGGTGACCCTCAACATTGCTTCTGTAAATATCATCTCACCCTACTCTGTGTGACTTCAGATATTCCGGGTCCAGACTCCAGCCCGGCCTCCTCTCTCGGCTGCTCTTTCATCTACCCGTCCTCCATGCTCACACAGTCCTCCCATTTATGCTCACACAGTCCTCCCATTTGTTTATAAGAAGGCTCAAGGAACATGCGCGAGCCAAGAATGATCCACGCATGTGCTCTGATCTTCTGCAGCGCGTACATGCTCCTGTCACCCACAGTCTGAGGCTCCCAGACACACTGGTCCATCTGTTCTCACCACAGCCTTGCTACGGCCTCCGTCTACAGGAGTGTGAGCCACAGATGTGCACAGATGGACAGACAACACAGTGTCCATCTGGAATTCCAATGGCTTCCGAGTTTTCCCGTGGCCTAAAGGCCTCACTGACTCTTTATGAAACAATATAGTTAAAGCTATTCATTTTTCTCAGTGTTTTTATGGGATGAGTCTAGGCATCTTATTTGCAGTCACAGAAGTCAGGGCACTGTTCCCATTTTTACCTTCACCAGGGCACAATGACATGGATAAAACTATCCCAGGGACAGCCATTAGCTCATACATTAAAAATGTAATAGTGGGGGGGGGGAGTGCCAAGCCTGGGAGGATTTCAACATCCCATCAAGAGCACATTCATTTCCTTCTACGGAACCCACTCCTAAAAATCCTAGCAACTCACCAGAGGGCACCAGCATTCACCAGGGAGAACCAGCATTCACCAGGGAGAACCAGCATTACCAGAGAGTGCCAGCATTCATTCACCAGACAGAGCACCAACATTCACCAGACAGAGCACCAACATTCACCAGGGAGAGCACCAGCATTCACCAGAGAGAGCACCAGCATTCACCAGGGAGAGCGCCAGCATTCACCAGGGAGAGCGCCAGCATTCACCGGGGAGAGCACCAGCATTCACCAGGGAGAACGCCAGCATTCACCAGGGAGAACGCCAGCATTCACCAGGGAGAGTGCCAGCATTCACCAGGGAGAGTGCCAGCATTCACCAGAGCACCAGCATTTACCAGGGAACATTTGCAACCCAAACCACAGCACCAGATGTCAGGTGGGAATAAAAGTTTCTGCTTCCACCAGCCACATAAATGCAAACAAGTTCATCGCTGGCCTCCATGACTCAGAGAGGTAAACGCTGCGCTTGTGTCTTGCCTTGTGAGGTGGGCTGTGACAGTGAGGGAATGGCTGACTCAGAAGCAGCCATGCTAGCACGTGCTCCGGCATCGGGTCTGGAGTACTTACAGACAGCACCAGTTTACTCTTCTCAATCACTTGCTCGAAGGTCTCATTCTTCTCCTCTTCCCACAGGCTAAGGAAAGTGTTCATTTCCGGAGCAATCGAAGGGTCGGGGCTCCCGTCACACTGGATGTAGTGCTTCCACTGGGGGTACAAATGTGTGAGTGTCACACTCATGAAAATTCAGCCAAGGAGGAGATCAACTTTTAAAAACTGCGGCGCTAGCCCAATGGTAGAGGCACACGTGTTCAATCCCAGCACTCAGAAGCAAGCCGATCTCTGAGTTCCAGCTCAGCCTGGTCTACAGAGTGAGTTCCAGGACAGAAAGGGCTGTTGAAACCCTGTCTCAGAAAAAACAAACAAACAAAAATGTGGATTTATTGGTCAGGGGGACACATACACCACGTGAGCCTGTGAAGGTCAGAGACAACCCACGGGAATCAGGTCACTACGTCCCCCATGAGGTCATCAGGCTTGGTAGCAAGCTCAGTGATCCACTGAGCATCTCAGGAGCCCCTAAATTGCTTTTTTGGAAATCCAAAGCTTCAAATTAGCAACCACAATTTACACGAAAACTATGGACGATGTTAACCAGTAACTTGATATAAAATATACAACCAAGCAAAGAAACCAACTAAAGTGGCCAGGCCCTCCCTCCCCTTCACACACTCTCTCTCTTTTCACGTCAGTATTTCTAGGGATCCGTGTCACCTCATCCAAGTTGTGATGACTGCAACACACAGACAACAGGAGACTTAGACTTACTGGCTCCGAAAAGATATGGCAGCTGCCCATGCCCTACACGGGGCACGCCACACTGAATGACGTAAGATGGGCAGCTGCCCGTGCCCTACTCCGAATCACTTTCTTTCAGGCGGTTTTGTTTCTCCATCTCATAAACAGGACAGCACAGGAAACGTGGTTGAGATCACTCCCAGGGTCATCACACCACACATCCAGCAGCCCCTGAACTTAGCCGACCCAGCATGAAAGCAATCAAGCACTGCTTGTCACAGTCAGAGCCTGCTCTGCCTGGTGTTGGACCAGCTGTCTCCTGAGCATCAGACTCTCCATGAGGCGTCCAGGAACTGCTGCTGACACATGTGGTGACCTCACGTTTTTTACACTGGGTGGGGCCCTTTCTTGGAGCCTTCGAGATGAAGCACGTCAGTCTATATCACAGGATAAGTAAAAGCAGCCGGCCAGTAGCTCTCACTCTACCCCAGCTCAGACCAAATCCTCAGACTGCTCCTGACTTCACTGCTCTCAGGTTCACTCAGACTGCCATGCTGTCCTCAGCGTGGCTGGCGACTCCTGAGACTGACCACTGAAGACCCTGCTCCTGTCTTTTATATCTCTCTAGTGCTGGGATTAAAGACATGAGCTCTGCTAATCTTTTAGACTGGTTCAACTTCATGTAGCTCAGGGTGGCCTTGAACTCGCAGAGATTCATTTGCCTCTGTCTCCTGAGTCCTGGGATTAAAGGTGTGTGCCACCACTACCTGATCTCTATAGCTTGAGGCTGACTTTGCTTTCTTAATCCTTAGGTAAACTTTAACAAATCATAAACAATATATCACCACAAATCTAGAATAAATATTAGCTGTTCGAGGAGATAACAAAACCCAACCCAAACATGACTAGCGTTAAAGATCTGATTGGAATTCTTTACAATAATCACTCCACTCACATGAAAGCTCTTCTTTTCTGTGGTGTTAGAATCCAGGACTCATACATGCTAGGCAAATACTTGACTTCCAAGATAGTTACTTCTTCTGTGTACAACACCATAAGAGAACTACAATTTTGAGTAGTATTAATAGCATTACAGCAGGACTCTGATTTCAGTTAATTTCATATAATTTTTGGAACACATAAATAAGTCATATAACCCAAAGATTTACCATGACTTATGTGACAATACTTCCCACAAAATTTAGCATAACAAATAACTCATCAAGCTTAGAATGCCTTTTCTAGACGTTGGAGTTAGCCTTTCTGATTTTTGTTGTTTTGAGACAAAAGCCTTGGTATGTAACCTGAAACGCAGGTCCTCTTGTCTTAGTCCCTGTGCTAGGACAGCAGATGCTCTATCAGAATGCCTCACAGTTATCACAAAGCCAGACTCTAGAACCGTCAGTAGGTTTCTACCCTACACGTTTACTCTTTTTAGTCAGAGCTATTCAACTTTAGATCATGAAAACAAGCCTTCGTCTTTAAAATAATCTCTCTGTCTAGCTTCTTGACTCAAATACATTTTCCTTGTACAAGGGATTGCCGTTTCTAATTTCATCACCTTATATGTTTAGCTCTGTAACCTTCACTTCTTTCTTCCTTTTTCTTATTTTGTATTTTCCGAGACATGTGTAACCTTGGCTGTTCTGGAACTCATTCTGTAGACTAGAGTGGCCTGGAACTCAGATCCACCGGCCACTGCCTCTGCTGGGATTAAGCTGTCAGCCTAATTTCTAATAAAATGCATGAACAGCAACATGCTGGCTTTCTTCCATCACTGGGCACATAAGCAGCCTTAGGGTCTTTGGGAACATCTTGCACAGAGTGGTCTGTGCGGTGTCTAGACGTCCCCGGACACAGGGGTTGTCTTTCCCATCCCACGCAGAGCAGAGTACTCGCAGCAGCTCACCCATTATCCAGCAAACCTGAGCTTGGCTCTAGCTGTAATTACAGAGCTCAGTAAACACAGCTGCCACCAGGCAGCCCACTCAACCTTTCATTTACCTGAAGCACGAGCAGGTGGAGACGGTTCTCTTCCCAGCACCTGGCAGTGCCGCCGTTCCGTCTCTTCTCCACTTAGGCCACTGTGTGCCTCATTTGCTCCTTCATGGCACTCAGGACACTGGTCTATGCCTCTGAATCTACTAGAACATTCTACACAGACATGGTGTAGTGCCTGCCTGTTATCACCCCAGTTGCTGGTCACTGCTTCTTGGAGTACTTACTGTAACCAGGCGAAAGGCTCACTTGGGCAATGCAAACAGAGGCCAACACTCCTCTTTTCAGAACGGCTGCCTGTACCTTCAGTCAGTAAAGGTAACGCAATGCCTCCTACTGTGCAGGTCACTTAACCCTGTCAGAACGCCTGGTGCCGATGCACAGGGTCAGTGTCAGGAGCAGGATGTTCACGAATCTCCACCGCTCACTTCACCACACACCACACTCCGGAAAGGATGGCCAAAGGCACGGTGGAAGGTTCCACACTGTCGGCTGGATCCAACGTCACCTCAGCTTGATGATCACTTAGGTTATTGTCATTAGGCTAGAATTGTTCTTTAAACACAGACTGTCACTTATGGAGTTCAAGAAAGACACCAAACACTGTAGTGTATCAACACAAGGCAAGGCTCCCAAATCTCTGTCTATTTGAAGGCAAAGGAACTCAGTTGTGAGCAATCCTCTGCAAATGAGCTCCTGCTAAGACTGACGTCAAGCCGGTGGAATGCCAGTACTCAGGAGGCTGAGGCTGAGACGTCACAACTTGGAGCAGAGCCAGAGTGAGACAGACAGACAGACACACACACACACACACACACAGAATGAATTTCACCATGCCTACCTTGCTACAAACCATCTTTTGTTTGTACCCAAACACCTCCCTCCAAACTATCTCCTCTGTATCCCCTCATCCATCCATCCATCCATCCACCCATCCGTCCACCCATCTGTCCATCTGTCCATCTGTGCCACCCACCTTGCCTTTCATGACTGACCTCCCTGATGACTGCCCGTGTATCCAGTCCCACGTGAGATTACTATCATCTACCAGGGAAGAGAATCTCAGCACAAAGTCTGGCTAAGACCAAATGGTCAAAGCTGAGGCCTGTTACATACGCAGACCCAGGACTCTTTGCCTTCTCCCTTGTATAAACCTCCAATGGCTTACTTCTTCCTCCTGGTGCAGAGAGAAAAGTCCTCACATAGAGGGAGGCTTTCTCCACAGCTGCAAATTCCCTTCTCCTGCTGGGTCTCAAAAAAACAGAACAAGCAGTTTCCCAACACAGCTGTTCTTCTAACAGAGGAGCTGACATCAGGGCAAGACCCCCCGACAGCACGGGCTGTGCACACTGACAGCTACACACTTGCTGTTTGAGTTCAACCAAGGCACAAGGTGGACGCCACCACCACTGACCCGAGGGCTCAACCTCTCCAGTAACTCAATGGCTTCCAAAGCCTGCATGCGAATTTACAATTCATCCCAGTGTTTCCACGGTATTTAAAATCCTTTTTGTACTCTCCCCATCAAGCAATCAATTTTACCCAAAGTCATCTCACGGTGGCTGCTGTAATCTCAATTTATTTTATCCATTTAAGACTCATCCATGTCCTTAGTCAGGAATGCATGTTACTGGAAATATGATACATGTGACTGGCTAGAGTTTCAAATGGAGCTTTAGACCCAATACGCATCCCAGGCTCTGACTGATTCAGCAGCCAGCATAAACTCTAGCATTACAGGCCGAGGTTACGCCCATGCACATGAACTAGCCCTAGAAGAGATCCGAGAGACGGGCTTCTAGACTGCAGACGGAGCCACGTTGGCTGTTGCTTAGAAACCTCACCTGTGCTTTCTTTCCTCCTGTCCCTTTCACTCAGGCGCTGGAAACATCTTTACAGGAACTAAAGCCAGTTTGTTTCTGCCTGGCGCACGGAGAGACCTCTCTGCTGTATTTCTTCAAATTCAGCTAAAGTGAAGCTCAGAGACTCCTAATCCAGAGGAGATTTGCCCACAATGCCCAGACGGGGCAGGCAAACAGGAAATAACATGGACTTGGGGGCAGCCTATGCCTGGATACTCTCTGGAGCTCTGTCAGGTCTGGAACCCTGTCCCCAAGCAGAACATGGGAAGCAGACAGCTCTTGGGTTAGTAAGGTCACGCACAGCTTTCTGTGCAAGGGACACATCAAGCCATGAGTCACCAAATCGCATGGTCTGAGGGCCAACGAGTGGAAAGAACCAAAGCTAGTGACATCACTAGACACCATTTCTCAGACCATGGGCGCGAAGCAGGGAGCAACTTCAAACCACCAGCTGTGGGTCCCAGCCTTCACTAGCTAACTGGCTGCTGGCCTCAGGAGCCAGCCAGAGCTGCTCTTGGGTTAACCTGTGATCTGCTTGGCCAGGTAAACGGACACAGGCTGCAGCTTCCCAGTGTAGTGCGAAATGAGTTTTACTCTTTGGGCTTTTTGAGGGGCCCGCCACCCGGCTCCCAAATAAATCATACACACAGCCTTAGCGTGGCTTGTTTCTAGGCAGCTTTTCTGAACTTAAATTATCCTGTCTACCTTTTGCCTCTCGGCTTTTCCTGTTCTCTTCTGAGTATCTCACTTTCCTTCTTACTCCGTGACTGACTGGGCGGCTGGGCGGCTGGGCGGCTGGGCGGCTGACTGACTGGGCGGCTGACTGACTGACTGGGCGGCTGACTGACTGGGCGGCTGGGCGGCTGACTGACTGGGCGGCTGGGCGGCTGACTGACTGGGCGGCTGACTGACTGGGCGGCTGACTGGCTGGGCGGCTGACTGGCTGGGCGGCTGACTGGCTGGGCGGCTGACTGGCTGGGCGGCTGGGCGGCTGTCCCTGATGTCCTCCTCATGTCTCCTTCTGTTTACACTCTCTGTCTGCCAGCCCCGCCTATCCTTGCTCCTGCCTCCCTGTTGGCCGTTCACCTCTTTATCAGACCATCAGGTGTTTTAGACACTCAGAATCACAGCTTCACCGAGTTAAACAAATACAGCATAAAAAAAAGTCACACACCTTACACCTGACAATAATATTCTGCCACATCCCGCAACTTTTACTTTTAATGCACAGGTATCTTGTGATGACAAGAACCTCATAAGCCAGCTTCTGCCAGCTTCAAACTTTTCTCCTATGGATTCCTGCCCTCGGGCCTTCATGCAAGAAAAGAGCCTGGCCTTGCTCTGGGGCATGCCTTGGTTTAGGGTGGTGGGCTGGTCAGCATTACGCCTTGGTTTAGGAGTGGTATGGCTGGTCTAGTCTGGGTTAGGCCATTGTTTAGAGATGTTGGGCTGGTCTGGGTTAGGTCATGGTTAGGGTGGTGGGATGGTCTGAACTTTTCTCCATGTCACTAATTGTTGGGCCTAAGAAAGGCTTGGATGTGAGGCCCAGTGTAAGCTCCTGAGCCTGACTTGAGTTTTGGGCTCAGATGTGAGGCCCAGTGTAACCTCCTGAGCCTGGCTAGAGTTTGTCGACCTGTCTCTGACCTGTAACCTCCGCGTGGGGGTGACTCAGCCAGACCTGATGCAAAATTGCCCCCTGCCTAGCTACCTGCCTGCTTGGTGGAATACTATTGGCCCTCACTCCTCACGTCACCTTACCCTATCCTAAGATTCCCATCCCCTACCTCAGCCCTATATAAGTTCCTGCATGTTGGAATAAATCGAGATCCTGCTTCGACAGACTCCGACTCAGTGTGGTTTTTTTTCTCCCTGGTAACTAATGGGGGGAGGGTCTGAGTCGTTGACACTCACCATCCCGCTCAGCCCCCGGGAAGAGGCCGGCTGGACTGGCCCTCTCCCAGCTCTACCTGCAGGGAGGACCCTGCAACTAATAAGAGTGTATTCACCTGCACGTCCTGCCTGACATCACTGGATTTGATTCCTTCCAGACGCCTCTTCTGCAGTATCAGTGAGAGGCCAGCATTCAGCCTATTCTGGATTTAGACTTGGCCTCCTCTCCAGGATCCGTCCCACATGTGACTGTAGGTGGGGCTGTGTTGTCATTGGGGTGTTTGGAGGGCATCATGGGGCGGATCATCAGGGTGGTTTCAGTCCCCGTGTGTCTCAGGGAACAGGGAGGCTGAGAGGATGGGGGGCAGCGGGGGGGGGGGGCTGAGACATGACAGGCTATGGGGATGAGAGCACAAACCCCTATCACTGAAGGGCCCCACCTGCCAGAGACTCAGGTGACGCCTCTCCTGAACAGTGACAGTTGCAACATCCTGTATCACTGCTGAGGGATGGATGAACACAAAGATGTAACCATGAACAGCTGGAGATAGTTTCATGATTGCCACAGTGTATTCAGATGTGACAATAGCCACAGTGTATTCAGATGTGACAATCGCCACAGTGTAGTGTATTCAGACACGAGCTGTCCTCTGGAAACAGTGCTGAAGGATCTGCCCTGATCACAGCTCCACACACCTTCCAGTTGAAAACAGACAAAACAGCGTGGACTGGGCTATACTGAAGCACCACAAAATCAGCTCACACAGATTCCCGAGAAGTGAGCAGTGAGGGAACATAAACGTGCCTAGTGTCCCTTTATTGACAAATAGCTTTCTACAACTGTATCAGTTTCTTTTGCCTGAACAATATATTTGTCAAATGAGAGGTTTTTAGAAAATTTGTTTGTATTTATGCATTTCTGTGTGTGCACTGCCTGCAGAGTCCAGAAGAGGGCGTCAGATTCCCTGGAGCTGGAGTAACAGGCGGCTGTGAGCCTGCTGATAAGGGATGCTGGGAACCCAACGCAGGCTCTCTCCAAGAACAGTGCGTGCGTGCTTGACCACTGAGCCATTTCACCATCCCAGATGTTCCTCTTAATACACTTTCCCAAGATAACAATTAGTACCAGACTCAGTTCCCTCATGGTCCCAGAAGTGTGAGCACGAGAGGAGACAGCCTCACCTGAGCCAGCGCTCTGGTTTCCCGTTTCAGTTTCTCTGCTTCAGGAAAACAGCCTTCTAGCAAGTTCAGTTCTTCAAGTTCTTCGTTTCTCCTCTCTAGGTCCTGCCACAGAAGGAGGCCACACTGATAGCTCTTCCATGATAGCATTCACAAGGAGCTTTTAAAACCCACGTGGCTGAATATATAGTTCCTGAATAAACAGCTCAGCCAATCTGGATAAAAGTGCTAATCCTGAGACAGTCTGGATCAGTAGCTGTAAGGCAGGATCTTTAGATGTTTGAAGGTTCCTTTGTGATCTGAGAATGAATCTTCACGAATGCCCATTGCCCCTACTGTGCATGGTACAGTCTCTACAGTGCATGGTAAGTCTCTACAGTGCATGATACAGTCTCTACAGTGCATGGTACAGTCTCTATGGTGCATGGTACAGTGTCTACAGTGCATGGTACAGTCTCTGTGGTGCATGGTACAGTCTCTACAGTGCATGGTACAGTCTCTACAGTGCATGGTAAGTCTCTACAGTGCATGATACAGTCTCTACAGTGCATGGTACAGTCTCTATGGTGCATGGTAAAGTCTCTACAGTGCATGATACAGTCTCTACAGTGCATGGTACAGTCTCTATGGTGCATGGTACAGTGTCTACAGTGCATGGTACAGTCTCTGTGGTGCATGGTACAGTCTCTACAGTGCATGGTATAGTCTCTGAGGTGCATGGTACAGTGTCTACAGTGCATGGTACAGTCTCTGTGGTGCATGGTACAGTCTCTGTGGTGCATGGTATAGTCTCTGAGGTGCATGGTACAGTCTCTGTGGTGCATGGTACAGTCTCTACAGTGCATGGTACAGTCTCTACAGTGCATGGTACAGTCTCTACAGTGCATGGTACAGTCTCTACAGTGCATGGTACAGTCTCTGAGGTGCATGGTACAGTCTCTGTGGTGCATGGTACAGTCTCTACAGTGCATGGTACAGTCTCTACAGTGTATGGTACAGTCTCTACAGTGCATGGTACAGTTTCTACAGTGCATGGTACAGTCTCTACAGTGCATGGTATAGTCTCTGAGGTGCATGGTACAGTCTCTGTGGTGCATGGTACAGTCTCTGTGGTGCATGGTACAGTCTCTGTGGTGCATGGTACAGTCTCTACAGTGCATGGTACAGTCTCTGAGGTGCATGGTACAGTCTCTGTGGTGCATGGTACAGTCTCTACAGTGCATGGTACAGTCCCTACAGTGCATGGTACAGTCTCTACAGTGCATGGTACAGTCTCTATGGTGCATGGTAAAGTCTCTACAGTGCATGGTACAGTCTCTGAGGTGCATGGTACAGTCTCTGTGGTGCATGGTACAGTCTCTACAGTGCATGGTACAGTGTCTACAGAGCATGGTACAGTGTCTACAGTGCATGGTACAGTCTCTACAGTGCATGGTACAGTCTCTACAGTGCATGGTACAGTCTCTATGGTGCATGGTAAAGTCTCTACAGTGCATGGTACAGTCTCTATGGTGCATGGTACAGTGTCTACAGTGCATGGTACAGTCTCTACAGTGCATGGTACAGTCTCTACAGTGCATGGTACAGTCTCTATGGTGCATGGTAAAGTCTCTAAGTGCATGATACAGTCTCTACAGTGCATGGTACAGTGTCTACAGTGCATGGTACAGTGTCTACAGTGCATGGTACAGTCTCTACAGTGCATGGTACAGTCTCTACAGTGCATGGTACAGTCTCTACGGTGCATGGTAAAGTCTCTACAGTGCATGGTACAGTCTCTATGGTGCATGGTAGTGTCTACAGTGCATGATACAGTCTCTACAGTGCATGGTACAGTCTCTACAGTGCATGGTACAGTCTCTACAGTGCATGGTACAGTCTCTACGGTGCATGGTAAAGTCTCTACAGTGCATGGTACAGTCTCTATGGTGCATGGTAGTGTCTACGGTGCATGGTACAGTCTCTACAGTGCATAGTACAGTCTCTACAGTGCATGGTACAGTCTCTGAGGTGCATGGTACAGTCTCTGTGGTGCATGGTACAGTCTCTACGGTGCATGGTACAGTCTCTACAGTGCATGGTACAGTCTCTGTGGTGCATGGTACAGTCTCTACAGTGCATGGTACAGTCTCTGTGGTGCATGGTACAGTCTCTGTGGTGCATGGTACAGTCTCTAGGGTGCATGGTACAGTCTCTGTGGTGCATAGTACAGTCTCTGTGGTGCATGGTACAGTCTCTGTGGTGCATGGTACAGTCTCTACAGTGCATGTGTCTCTGTGGTGCATGGTACAGTCTCTACAGGACACAGTACAGCCTCGGGTGTCTTAGCCTGAATCAAAGCCATGTCTCAAACGGCACTAGCTTGGGGCTGAGACTGTGAGAGGTAGTGGTGGCTGCACACAAGACCATCCTGATGGAGGGGGCAGTAATTACTTCTTCTAAATCCTAACCCTAAGAGTCGAAAATTTTACACTTTGTGTGTTAGAATGGAAAGAAGGCATTAAGGACACCAAAGGCAATAGTGTCCCGAGAAATAATCTATAATCGAGTGTTTTTGTGGATATGTTCTCAAAAATGTATGAACTGCACATAACAGGTTGAGGATATAAATCAAACATTTGTTTAGAATGGCAAGGCTTAGCATTCAAGTAAAACTTTAGATTAAAAGGCTGCAGCTGGTAAACAGCAAATCTTTAAAACTTTCTGATTTGACTGGCAGTGATACTAACATAGGTGATTTTTTTTCTTGGGCACAGGTTCTTACTATGTAGCCGTGGCTGGCCTGGAACTTGCTATGGAAACTAGTTTACCTCTGCTACCCGAGTGCTGGATCCAAGGCATGTGACACCACAGCTAACACGTATGTGATAGTTTGATAAAGGAGAATAGACATGCCAACATGTGGAAGTGGTGAGCTCACTGACACAACATGCTCTAAAGAAACAGCACACAATGCTACAGAGCAGAGCGTGGAGACCCAATCTGCTCAGAGGCAGCAGCAATGCTTGGTTCCCAAGGGGTGTGTGCGCACTAACGGTGTGTGTCTACTAACGGGGTGTGCCCACTAACAGTGTGTGTCCACTAACGGGGTGTGTGTCCACAAGCGTAGCTTTAGATCCCACATGGAGAAGCTCACTCGTACAGCTGGGAGGTGGCATGTGCCTGTGCTCCCAGCTACTCAGAAAGCTGAAACAGGAGGCTCACTTGAGATTGAAGTTTGAGTCTAGCTTCAGCAACACAACACAGCTCTGTCACACGGAGGAAACAGCAGCAGCCACCATCTGTTTAGTTGAGGTGCAGTGTCCAAGAATGCCACAATATCCGAAAGGCTAGGACCTTTTCCCATTGTGTGTGTGTGAGTGTGGGTGTGTGCACGTGTGTGTACAGGCAGACACTGACAATGAGTGTTCTTCCCTGGGTACTCTCCACCTTTATGTTTTATGGCAGGGTCCCCCTCTAAAACTGAAGCTCCTCAGCTTCGCTAGGCTAGCTGGCTGTGAGCTGCAGGGATCCCCATGTTTCTGCCCCTCAGTGCCAGAGCTGCAGGTAGCCAGTACACTTGGTTATTCAAGCCCAGCTTAGACTTCATGGTTTCAAGGCAGGCACTTTCCCACCGGAGACATCTCCAGCCCTGTTGCATCTTCTCCCCAGTTCTGTAATCTATCTGTGCAAGGTGAGCTTTTCTTCATATACTCGCGCTGAAACGTCTAACAAAATGCTCACATCGTCATGAGAGCCCATGTGTCTTCCGCTGAGCTAGATGCTGAGGAGATTTTTAAAACATTAACAGTGCAGCCAGGAACAGTGACATATGCCTTTAATCCCAGCACCTGAGAGGCAAAAGCAGACAGATCTCTGTATGAGGCCAGCTTGGTCTACACAGAGAGTTCCAGAACAGCCAAAGCTGAATAGAGAGACCCTGCTTAAAAAAAATCGGCTGGGCAGTGGTGGCGCACGCCTTTAATCCCAGCACTCGGGAGGCAGAGGCAGGCGGATCTCTGTGAGTTCGAGGCCAGGCTGGACCGACAGCCTCCAAAACAATACAGAGAAACCCTGTCTCGCAAAAAAAAAAAAAAAATCAGTTGGGTTCATCCCCCTAACTGAAAACATGTGTGAGGTGACGGCTGGGGACCGTCAGTGACTACAGGGCTGGGCACTGCTGCAGCCACGGACGCAGGGGTGGGGTCAGCATGGCGGCACTGCCAATCATACTTACTTTCTTTTCCAGCAGACGCCATTTCTCCTTCTCTTTCCTCTGTATCTCTAGCCTTTCCTGTTCTTCTTTTTCAAATCTCAGTCGAGCCTCCTCTGAAGAGCCAAAAAGAGACCAAGAATCAACTGCAGATATGCAACCACAGTGCTCAGTGTCTCAGACTCTTTTTTGTTTTGGTCTGCTTGCTTTGGCTTTTCGAGACAGGGTTTCTCTGTATAGCTTTGGAACCTGTCCTGTCCTGGAACTCCATCTATAGACCAGGCTGGCTCACACGCATAAGTACATCTAAAACAAAAATTTGAAATATATGTTGAAGGATATGACATAAACCCCAGACACAGATCCTGGTGCTGAACTTTTTTAGTCATTTGAAAAGGACTAATAAGGCCAGCAGGATGGCTCAGGTGACAAAGCCACTTGCCAACAAGCCACCTGATAACCAGAGTTTGATTCCCAGGTTCTCATGTGAGAGGAAAGGACTCCCACAAGTTGTCCCCTGGCTTCTACATGCATGGGAAAGTACCAGTGCCCTGGATAAAGAAAGAAATCTAAAAGCATCAGTTAGAAAACAAAAGAATGTGCTTTATTATCTACAAAAGACAAAGTATACAAAGTCAAGAGAGTATTTTACAAACCTGACTATAAATCTACAGACACCGAATCCTAGTACCCTTGACCGTCAGAGCACTCAGACTTTAAAAACCACTTTCTAGTATTTCAGTTGGCCAGTATTTTTATCAGTGCTTAACTCTAATGAATGAGATCGCTGGTTTAACTGGCAAACAGCTATTGCTGAACATCAGGGAGGTGGGCTCAGGGTTGAGAGCATGCGCTGTTCCTGCACTGGACCCAAGCTCAGTCCTTAGCACCCACAGCATACAGCTCACTCGGCCAGCAACCAGCTCAGAGGAACCAACACCACCTCTGGCTCCTGTGGGCACCTGAGCTCACTTGTGCATACTTTACACATACACATAATCAAAAATAAACGACACAAGTCTTTTTAAAACCCTCAGGGTAAAAAAAAAGGTTAGGCTGTTGTATTTTTTGCTGATGTATATTGCTCATCTTTAATAAACTTAGGTTCAAAATTCTTACCACACAATCAGCACCAATGCCCCTATCTTCATTAGTAAATATGAACACTTTATGGCAGCCTTGACAAAATCAACAAATAAAATATGGGCTGATCAGCTGGATTTGAATTTCTGATGAGCATTGATTTTGTGTTGTTGTTGATTTAAATATAGACAAATACTGTGTGGTGATGGGGGTCCTTCTGAGCATGTATGGCCTTATTGGTTGGTGAATAAAGCACTGTTGGCCAATAGGGAAGGGAGGTGGGACTAGGAGTCGAGGAGGATTCTGGGAAAAAGAGGCACAGTCAGTCACCATGTAGGACTCGAGAGGAGTAAGAGGTCCGGACTCTTTCTCCGGTAAGAGAACACCACGTGGAAATACTCAGATTAGCAGTTATAGGTTAATAATTAAGTCAGAGCTGGCCAATGAGAAACCATTGCAAACGGCCAACAGCTTCATAATTAATATAGCGTCCTGTGTGTTCACTTGGGACTGATGCAGCTCGGGGCCCAGGCTGATGGGAAGAATTCTCGCTACAGTGTAGAGCAAAACACCAAAAGATCAGTGGGTGGTCAGAGCCTGGACGTCGGAGTCCTGAACTCTGTCTGCCCACTCGGATCTGACTGTGTGCACGCTGAGCGTGCTGACTGGTGTTTCTGAGTACACTCTACCTATAGGAATCCCTCATGAGACTAGAGCCTGTTGGAAATGCTGAGTGTGTGTCAGAATCGGCCTGTGGTGACGTTCTGTGCGGCCCTGCGCAGCATTCCGTACCTTCCTCCTTCTGGCGTCTCTCTTCCTCCTCCTGCAGGAGCCGCAGTCGCTCAGCTTTGGTGATCTTTTTCTTGCCGGCAGACTTGACGAGGAGCACAACATGAAAGAGGCTGTCAGCGCAAGTCATTTAAGCACACATTCCCTCAGATAATGATTACAGCTGCTGCAGGGATGGCTCAACAGACAAGGGACTTAATGCTCCTCCCAGCACCCAAGTCAGGCAACTCACAACCACCTGGAACTCCAGCTCCAGGGATCTAATGCTCTCTTCTGGCTTCTTCATGCACCCGCAGTGCATATAAAATCACACACACACACACACACACACACACACACACACACACACACACACATTTAAAAAATAAATCTTAAAAATAGCAATTATGAAAACAATTACTGATTTTAGGAAACCAATTTTCATGTACAGTAATTCAATAGGTAAGAGAGCCAATTAGTACCCAGCACAGACTATGAGCCCTACAGAGATCTGTCTGAAAATAAACAATACAGATAATCATATAACGCCTTCCACAGCAGGGACAACCCTGGCAAGAGTGTGTGAGGGAAGTAACTGTTGAGCTTCCAACTTGTGGAGTCAAGTAAAACACCACCCATGGTGCGAGTCTGAAACTGCGCATCTGTAGACACTGAAGATGCTTCTACAGCGGGCAGGCTTTCAGTTCCTTTGCAGGTTTGGAGGGAAGAGTGGTGCTTCAGCTTGTGTTCAAAGACTCTTTCTGCTCAGGGAGAGGTGACATAGGAAGAGGGCAAGCACGCAGCCAGCAGGGAGGCAGCTGGAGACCAGCAAACTCAGCAGGCTCCGGGAGACTCCACAGAGGGGTCAGGAAGAGTTGAGTGTGCAGAAAGCTGGAACCCCAGCTGAGGTGTGGAGGGGCACAGCTGTGCGTCCCAGTAACTGCTACACAGACACACAAAGCTGAGGTGGGGGGGGGGTCTGGCAGTGCATCCTAGTAACTGCTACAGGGTCACAGAGAGTGTGCAATGGTGTTTCCTGAAGAAATGTTTAACTGCATAAATACTCAGCACATATTCACATAGACATTCCTTCTGAGTGTTTGTAGACGCACTGGGCTCCCACATGTTTATTCAACAAACACGATTAAGTTTCCGCTGTAGACCGGGTGCAGCACTAAGCGTTACAGATACAAACATAAGTGTGGTAAGCGGTGGATTACGCTGCTCAGGGTAGAGCATTCCCTAGTGTGTACAGGCCTCAGAAGACAGCTGCGGCCAAGTCTGCGGATCCCTCTCTGCTCAATCTCTGGGACCTCGGGTAGAGGAGAGAGCAGCCTCCTGTAAGTAAGGTGTCCTCTGACTGCCACACACAACATGATCCAAGACTTGCAACTGAGGTTCATCCTAACTCAGGTGCTGAGAGCCCAAAGGGTAGACACTCATTCCTTAATATTAGTTACAGGACTCTGTGAACGCCGAAGTTCACATATTCAAGCCACTTATAAAGAGACAGTGTTTGCATGCAAACTATGTGTGTCCTCTCCTACACTTCTACAGGCAACCACATCCAGTCTAGACAGCTGCTACATTTAGTTTACTGTTCAGGAGTAACTCACAGAAAAGTCTGCATGTGTTCTCTGCAGACGGGATTTCCCAAATATTTATTTCTTTATCACTAAAACATTCCAAATTGTTTCTTCTAACTTTCTGATTCACGCAGTACACAGTACATGTTATCTATTACCACATTTAATTAAACATTTATGTGAGTATGAGTGTTTGCCTGCATGTCTGTCTGTGCACCATGGGCATTCCTGGGGCTCAGAGGCCAGAGGAGGCTGTCAGATGCCCTGGAACTAGAGTCATAGAACTGAGAACCACCACGTGGATGCTGGGAACCAAACTCAGGTCCTCTGCAAGAGCAGCCAGTGCTCATCTCTGTAACCCCTATTAGCCCCCGCCTTTTTCAGACAAGGTCCTATTGCACAGCTGAGGCTGGATTAGAACTTGTGGCCCTCTGGGCACTGAGATCACAAGAGAGCACCACCATGCCCAACCTTCTGGTCACACTTCTGAAGAACATTCTTAATGTGTTTGGTTTCATCCATGAGTACAGAGCCCACAGATAAGGAGGGTCGAATGTAACTGTGTTTTCAAGAGTTCAATTTAAGGACAATAGATCACTGAGATATGCTTTAAGGCAGGTAGATTAGACCTACCTCCTGTTGTGTTCAGGGAGATAAACAAAGTGAGAGTTCTGACCACAGACGGGTGATGACCAGAGGTGGCCACTGCTGAGCTCCATGAACTGCTACTTTAGAGGACCTCAGACACGGAGTGACCAGCTTGAGTATTCCATGACTAGAACAAATGCAACTGATTTTTAATTGCTTTAGTACACTTTATTTTGGGGGACAATGTCTGGCCATAGTTTTTGGGGCTTTTTGGTTTGTGCCTGTTTTTTGGGGGGGTGTTTTGTTTTGGGCCCAGACTGCACTCAATCCCACGATCTTCCTATTCCAACCTCCACTGTATCTGGAATTACAGGGTGAGACAACATGCCACACTTGAGAAGTGATTTTTTAAAAAATGAAAAAAAGTTCAAGTAAATCCAAATCTACTGGTAGGCTAAATCTGGCCTGTAACAAAAGATTAAAATTTCTGCTTTAAACTAGTGATGTACAAAGTAAAGAGGGAAAAGACATCCAGACATGAGGCAACATGTCCCTTAGCCAACCTCAATTTCTACCCAGTACAAACAAAAGCAGAAAAACACAAGCATCGTGCTGCCTTGCAGTCCCTGGGTCACTCACAGCAGGTCTGTACCTACGTTTTAGGTTTGTCTGGAATGAATAAAAGGAGGGTTGAACCCAGCATACTTCACAGTGGAAGTAAAAACTGAACCCTCAAATCCAGGTGCAGGTCAGAGCTAAAGTCCATCTATAAATCGTGTCTTTTTCAGACTAGAAATATAACCAAACGTGAGATACATCTGTAAATTATCCTTCTGTGATTTAAATAATGTTATTATCTAAAAGATGAGCTTACTATATTCTATAAACTACAACTAAGCAATTACTTTAAAATTCCACAGAAGTTTATTTGTACAATACATCCATAAAAACTATCTGTTTTGAAAACATAATTTCTACATACCTTTTTTGGTTTGGGACCCTAGAAAGTTGGAAAACAAAAGCATTGACACATTTTAAAAACGGTTTCAGATACTTTGAACAAGCAGCACATGAAACATAAGTTAGGGGAAGCTGGCAAGGGCCCAAGGGAATTCTCTTTGTGCCTTCTCTGCAACTTTTCTATGACGCCAGTTACTTTAAACTAGAAAGATGCTGTTAAAAAAAAGGCAGAGTAAACTAAAAGAGCATGCAGAAAACCCACAAGATTTCCCCCAAGCATCTTCCGGAAGTACTATGACAGATTTGCAGATGGGGGTGCTGTCTAATAAAGGAATCTTTCTGTTACGTAAGATTGGTGGTTTTTATGGTAAGGCAATCAGTTTTTTAAAGTCTGCCAATCAATGATAAAATGAAGACTGTGCAGCCCACATGTTGTAGAGTCAGCTGCCCATTTTGAAAAAGCACAGTATTCCCAGACTGATTTACAATTGCAAGTACTTCTCGGTAATACTATTTGTTCCTGCGCAGTCCTGTGTGTCCATCGGCCTTCTGGTAAAGGATTAATAAGGGACTGTGTGAGTGTTACCCATGTTACATATCTGAAGAGCCATAGGAAGTACAGGTTCAAGCCACAAGAGCATTATTATAATACGCAAGTGCTGAAGTCAGCACACATTAAAGGCATCTTCCTGAAAGGGTGCGCACATTTCAGAAATTCGCTCTGTAGCTATTTGCTGGTGCACGGGCAAGGCACTCTAAAGTGTAGCTAGAGCTACAGAGAGAAGAATAATGGTGGCCATGCTCTGGCGATTTTTACAAATGATTTTCATCCTGGCTATACTGCTTCCTATCACAATGGGTAACATACTTCCATCTTGAAACAAACACTGTATGGCAGACCATATAAACATCCCTGCCCTACTCTCAAGCAGCCATTCTTAGAGGTGATGGGCACATTTTTATTTTTCACTAGTACTTCTGACACGAAGCAGGTTTGGGAAAACTCCCACCCTTGTCTTTCGAGTAAACACAAGAGCCACCAAGGAGTAAAACCGTTCTCAAACCCTAAGCGGTGAAGGGTGCCACTGCTCTCTGAAGGAGAAGCTCTTTGAGAAATCCATACTCCTGGACCTACAGTGTACGCAGTTGCTCCCCTTCCCGTGTGTAATTCCTTAGATTGCGGGGGGGGGGTTGTGCTGTAGAATATTATTTTAAGGTGCGTGACTTTTGTTTATGCTGCATTTGTTTAACTCTGTGAAGCTGTGATTCTGAGTGTCTAAAACACCTGATGGTCTGATAAAGAGCTGAACGGCCAACAGGGAGGCAGGAGCAAGGATAGGCGGTGCTGGCAGACAGAGAGTGTAAACAGAAGGAGACATGAGGAGGACATCAGGGACAGCCACCCAGCCGCCCAGCCGCCCAGTCAGTCACGGAGTAAGAAGGAAAGTGAGATACTCAGAAGAAATGTAAACGCCCAAGGAAAAAAGGTAGATGGGTTAATTTAAGAAAGGCTGCTCGCAACAAGCCAAGCTAAGGCCTTCATAACTAAGAATAAGCCTCTGAGTGTGATTTACTTGGGAGCTGGGTGGTAGACACTTTAAAAAGCCCAACGAGTAAAACATCCCACAAAAGGGTTAAATTGTATCTTTTCAAATTTTCATGCTGTAATCTTAACTTCTTGTGTGTCAGCATTTGACCCACTTAGAAAAAAGGCTTCACCAAGTTAAGATGACCCCATATTGAATTGGGTGGACCTCTGGATCAATATAGCTGGTACCCATGTACAAAGAGGAATCTTGAATGGAGATCCTCACAAAAAGATCAATTGTCACGTGAAAAAATGAGGTTACACTGCTACACCCCAAGGCACTGTTAAAACTAGTGAGGTCTGAATAAATTCCTCCAGACTGACTCCAACCTCAGGTGCACAGTCTCCAGAATGGTGATGCAGGCAGTTTCTGAAGCTTAAGCCACCGTGTTCATGGCACCGTGTTCCCTGGAAACCCCCGAGGCATTAGATTTGAAGTCATAACTCCCTGGAACCTACATTTTAAGCAAATCGCCCAAGTGTCTTAGAAGTAAAAGCTGCGCGGTCAGACTTTGAGAGGCAGTGCTAGGCAGATCTGGCGGGGGGGAATACAAACCCACGCTTCCATGGAGCAGACAAGCGCCTATTCTTGTCATCTGCCAGCAGTTTTAACTTGGCTTAAGACCCATCGGGGTCCTGCTAGGGGAGTTCTCCACTTCCCACTTCTTCCCTCCACTTAGGGAAAACCCGCATTTATATTTCAATAAAGGATTGAAAAGTGCCACCGCTTCAAGTACACCAGCTGCTACCGTGGCAGTCACTCTGCTCAAGTTGCCTGTTGCAGGAGGGCTGGAATCCTCGGGGTCTCTGACTTCCAGCCAGCCACCATCAAGAATGCACTCTGAATTTCCATTACAAAATGAGCTGCATTCTCATTCTCCAGGTCCGATGAATGTGATAGCATTCTCCAGCGTCTTGCTGGAGAATGAGAGAGACAGTCCGTGTTGGACTGTCTCCTTGGTGAAGACAGGAGAGTTGGAACACAGGAAAAACAGAAGGGGTGGAGGGGGCTTTATTATGTTGAGTGCGTGCAGGCTGACTACCTAGAGGCAAAACAATTCGGGCTCCTACGAAAGAGCACACACAGGGACTTCCAAGCTGACTAAGCTGCGGGTCTGGAAGCATTCCTGACCGGTTGTAGTCAGCCTAAGACTAGGAACGTGCATCCCGGGGAAGGCACTAGGGAAGGACCGAGCTCCACGTTTAGCTGCGGGAGAGGTGTGGATGCCGCCACCCCCGGCTGGCACAGCTGGTTTGGGACTGCGCCCGTCCGCCGGCCCGCCTCCAGCAGCGCTGCAGCGGATTCCGCGCTCGCCCTTCCCGTCTCCTTCGTGTTCCCGGCTTACCATGAGAGAAGGAGGAGGAGGACTTGGCGAAGGGAAAAGTCGGAACTGCGGCGCCCGAACGCTCACGGTTGTCAGGACGACAGGCCACGCCCACTCACCAATCCCGGCGCTCTGCGAAGGTCCGCCTGCGCAGTCGCACTGTAGCCTTCCGGTGGGAGTCCTGTCCTTGTCGTGGACTGGTTGCCCGAGCCCCATCCCCACTTCCGACACAAGCCCGGCCCCTCACCGCGGCCGGAGTCCGCCCACTTCTGCCTGGCGCCCCGCCCTCATCCATCCCTCAGGGATCCCAGGGGCTCTCAGCCCCGCCCACTCCTGCCTGGCGCCCCGCCCCGATCCCCGCATGTTCCCAGCCCCGCCCACTCCTGCCTGGCGCCACGCCCACTTCCGACAGGCGGCCCGCCCCTCCCAGGGCTGCGGCCCATGGGACGTTTACGGCCCTGGTGCCGCAAAGCGCTGAGTGTGGCGGTGCGATCGGCTCGTTTCCCGGAACCCGGGGCTGCAGGTGGTGAAGTATGCTTTAGGAGCGGGCTGCTGCGAGCGGGAGGGGGGCTCCCAGGCTGACCCGGAGCTCGTGGGCATCCTCCTCCCGAGCCTGGGGTTACCGCCGTGGGCCGCCACGCCCGGCCCTGCACAGGGGTTTCTCCCTGGCTTCTGTGCGCCCGGGCGAGCCCTTCCCCGGGGGTCTGGGGCAGGGATGGCGCCAGCCCGCTACTGGGTGAGGCCGGCGGGTCGCCAGGAGGGCACTTGGCCAAGTAGGCGAGGCAGATGGGCTCCCAGAGGGCGGTCGTTACCTAGAGATTAAAAGTAGTGATCGTGGTGGTCTAGTTTCTATGTAAAACCTCGCCCTTTCCCCAAAGAGCTGCCCACACAAGAATCGAAAGTGACCTGAATTGACTCCCAGGTGAAGGTCCAGTCAGCCCTTACTGTCCCAAGGTCAACCATTCAGTTGTGCTGTTGCAGCGGTCCTCAGAATTTGAGCCCCTCCCCATGTGAAGAAGGGGCACTCTGCACCAACAAGCAACCTAGTCAGTTCTCTATCCCAGCCTAAGACCTGTCTAAACTGCTAAACACCAGATGCAGTAATTCCCCTCGCCCAAATTCCAACTTAATGTCCTATCCCTCACACGTTCGCTAAATGTTCTACTCGGAAGTATTACTGACAGCTGGTTTTTGCGGGTTAAAGTTACTGGTTGCATTAACAGTTATGACCTTAAGGGCCTCTGAACCTTGGTAAGGAGATTAAAAAAAAAAAAAACTATCCACTGTCCTCCCTTGAGAATGATTGTTTTAAACAGGCTATAGCTTGCTGTCAAATTGTATCTATGTAAACTTAATTTCAAATCACAGTTTTAGTAGTCATTCCTCAACAAGAGAGCCCAATGACTATGTATGCCCCCATCCCCTGCAAAATTGTTTAAGCACTCCGGTTAATATTGTGGGTTAAACACTGGTTTCAGTGCCTTACAGAATTCCACTAAATCTTAAGGAAAAAATAAAATTTAAAAAGGGAGAGATGATGACAACAGTAAGACTTTAGAAGCTGGAGAACATGTCGACTGTGACTTAGCACACTAGAAAACCTAAGTGGACACCATCATTCTCAAGGGAGGACAGGTAGAATTAACTAGGGCCTATCCACCTCAGCACTAAACCCAAACCAAAGAACTCAGCATGATTACCTGTGTTTAGGACAGGGTGTCCTATGTCACTTCAGTCACAGCTCTCCTTAATAAACACGGGGTCTGCCCCTGCTTCTGCTCCCCCCAGCTCAGCAGTTTTGGTCGAATATGATGCTATGACTTCAAGAATCTCCCATTTTCTGCAAGTTAGTCCTTAGTTAATCTTGAAAGAAAATCTACTTTGAAATTTTAAAAAACTTTTCCTGGATAATTGAGTCCCAAGGTTGTTGGGTGGCACTGAGATGCCAGCAGCCAGAAGGGACAGAATGGAGGGCTGGGAAGTGGAGTCCCATAAGAATTCAAAAGGGACAGAATGGAGGGCTGGGAAGTGGAGTCCCGTAAGAATTCAAAAGCAGGGGAGAGTGGTTGTGCCCTAGAGAGGACACCATCGGGGAGGCAGGACACAGCGACACAGTGTGCCTTCCAGGAACAGGGACAGGAATGGGAAGAGTGTGCCAGATGATGACAGTGGTAAGAATTTGGTCACAGTAAGGGGAGAAGCTATGATCCCATTGTTGAGGATAACCGGAACCAGCTTGTTCATGTTTGGATACAAGTGTTGGAATTACTGACAGGAAGCTAAAATGAAAATAAATCCTGTAATGTGGGAATTAAATGTTCCCGGATTATTTAAAGATCAGTATGAAAACCACACACATGCTTATAGCACCAGTGCATGCCTTTCCTCAGGGCTTAAGAGGCCCAGACAGACAGTCCCCATGGTGCAGCAGCTCTCAACACAGAGGTCGAGACACCTTTGGAGTCAAATACCCTTTCACAAGGGTCACCTAAAACCATTTGCTTACCAGATATCTACATTTCCACTCATAAGAGGATCAAAATTAGTTGTGAAGTGTAATGTGCATTCTCCCCACCAGCCACTTGGGTTCTGCCTGTCTCAGCCCCCAAAATAGCACACCAGACACTGTATTATGAAGCTGTTGGCCGTTTGTTTGGTTTCTCATTGGCTAGCTCTGACTTAATTATTAACATATAACTGCTAATCTGAGTATTTCCACATGGTGTTCTCTTACTGGAGAAAGGGTCTGGATCTCTTACTCCTTCAGTGTCCTACATGGTGACTGACTGTGCCTCTGTTTTCCAGAATCCTCCTTGACTCCTAGTCGCATCTATCTTGCTTCCCTATTGGCCAACAGTGCTTTATTTAACCAACCAATAAGACAACATGTACACAGAAGGAGGAACTGTATTAAAGGGTCACAACATTGGGAAGGTTGAGAACCACTGTGGTAGTACATCTTGCTTCCTAAACTATCCCATCCATGTGGTGGATTATAAATCCACTTGCCTCTATGTGAACTAGGTTCCTAGAAGAAGTTACTTTACAGTGGAGAATACTGGTTTTTTACTCAGCCGTAACAGAACACAATGGAATTGTGCCTACCTGATAAAGATGCAATGTAAGAGCTTAGAAGTGGGAATCTATTTAGGTTTATCTAATAAGGCCTTTGCCACCTAAGCATTAAGAAGCGTGGTCTACATCATAGGTGCTGCCTGCTTCCTGTGGAACCTCTTTTCAAATACTTCATAAACTAAATACTTCAAATAAACTAAACCAGTTTCTTTTAGTTCTTGCCTCTGGGAACAGCTTTCTGGATCTGGACTCTTCGTGTCTCCCAAGTAAAGACGCCTAAGCCTCAAGAACAGGGTAGACAGTGTTACTTTTGGTAAGGAAACAGGTTTAGAAAAATTAAGAGTGCCTTGATTATAAAAGCTCTCAACACAAATCATCATTCTGGGGCATAGGAGGTCTCAGTGGGCAAAGCACTTACACAAGCAAGAAGACCTGTGTAAAGACTTGGGTCTGTAATCCCAGTGTGCCTGCAGGCAGATGGCAGAGAGAGGCAGGAATCCCTGAATGGCAGGGCTAACTGTTTGTGGAGAAGCACTGAACCGCTGACCTGAGGTCATGGCCTGCACATGCATACCGTGTCCAAGTGCACATCTGCATTCAAAGATGACAAACAAGCTTACCATTTCCCCAATGTGTAAGATCTGTGATTAAGATTACATAGCAGTAGCCGGGCGGTGGTGGCGCACGCCTTTAATCCCAGCACTCGGGAGGCAGAGGCAGGTGGATCTCTGTGAGTTCGAGGCCAGCCTGGACTGATAGCCTCCAAAACAAAACAGAGAAACCCTCTCTCGTAAAAACAAAACAAAACAAAATTACATAGCAGTTATGTGAAAGAAAATCTTCCTTTTCTTTAGGTATGTTACATATAGAAGTGGATTAATTCCATGTTAAATGAAAATGGCCAATTCTTTACGAGGAGAAGTACTGGCTCTCTATAAAAATGTAAGTAATTATGCTGCCAACCTTACAAATGTTACTGTGTGACATGCATTGCTTAGAGATGCATCTTTCTTTTTAAAGCTGCTGTATCTTGGACGGGACTATCCAAAAGGAGCAGACTATTTTAAAAGGCGTTTGAAGAATGTTTTCCTTAAAAACAAGGACGTGAAAGACCCAGAGAAGATCAAAGAGCTTATTGCACGGGGAGAATTTGTAATGAAGGAGCTAGAGGCCTTATACTTCCTTAGAAAATACAGAGCTATGAAGCAACGATACTATTCAGATACCAACAACTAACCAATCATTGCCACCAATGCCTGGCTGACAATCAGTGCTGTTTGTGTGTATCAACTATTATAAAATAATCCAATTTACAATGGCAAGATAAATGTTTAAAAAAAAACCAGTTGCCCTACTGTACTAAAATACAATTCAACCTCACAGATACTGAGAGCTTTACTCATAATCCTTTATGCTCAAGTTTTAATATAGTTACTTTAGCACATTGCATGAGAATACAATTGTGAATGAAAATACGCCTAATTTTCTAACCTGCTATAGCCAATTATCCTTAGTCTATTTCTCCATTTACTGATAAGACTGTAATTAGCAAGTGAATGGTGTCTGACACGGTTACCCTTTAGCGTGTGAGCCCTTGTTTGGTTTTTCCCTCCATCTAGTGTGTGGAAGTGCATTTCAAGGGTCTCTACACCTCCTCAAAAATGATTTGAATGCAGTTATCAAAATAAGACACATGAAAGTGACTTTGACCTGGAGATGCTCAGTAGATGGCTGGCATTCTATAGCTATTATTCCCATTATTCTTGGTGCTGCTAACTCCCCTAAGTCCCAAAATCACCTGTCCTGCTTGGACTAGCTTTCATGAGGAATGGTAATGTTCCTGTTTCCACGATTAATGCAGGCATTCTTTTTGTTTGCCCATAACAAAGCTAATGTGCAGTGGACCTAGCACAATCACGACTGCAAGTTTATGCAAAAACTTAAAACATTTATGTAATATTTTTAGCAACTTTACAAATAAAGAACTTTCCAACTCAGAGCTGCAAAAAAAAGTGTCTACTTAAAGAGTTTCCAATCAACTACCTGGCAGAAGGTGCAAATTTCCATAAGAAACAGCCACTGTCAGGGCTGAGGTGTAGCTCCATGTGAAGTGCCTGCATAACAAAAGTGAGGTTCTGGACTTGAGCCTCGAGCACAATTACAAATGATTAATCACACACTTCATAGTCACCATAACTATTTTTATTACATTACAATGATTAGGAGCAGTACAGTTCATGACAAAAATATTACAAATTTCAGATCACTTCACAGCACATACTCCTATAAACATTTAAAAGTTAATTTTAATTAAAAGAGTGGTCATTTTTAAATTTAATGTTTGACATGACCAACATTCCCTAGGTCAGCACAACCAAAGGATGGAGAACAACTGGATCACACTGCATATGCCCGCACACGAAAAGAAGAAAGAAAAACATGGAGAAGCACAATGTACAAAATGTGCATGTTTCAGTTCACACTATACAAAAGTAGTTCAGATACATTCCAGGTAAACATGGTACATTAAGAAATAGCACTAGTAAGAAATTGGCACTCAAATAAAAATGCAGAAGCAAAGACACAGACAGTGGAGTTGGGGACCTGGACACAAATCAGCACACAGCCCACTTAGCTGGTTGAGGTGGCTGGGTCTAAAACTGACATTTCTGCAGAGCACTTCATTTTTCCCAAATTCATCTAAAATGCCTACCATCCCAAACAGGCACTTCATACTATTAAACTAAACCACAAATCTGAATCTAATTAATAACTATTCTTTGAAAACTAATGTACTTTAGAAATAATTTTCATATTTGACAGAATTTTACAGTTACTGGGTGTATCTGTTCAGTTTTTCAGTGCAGAACTCATGCTACCCAGTATTACACAGAAGTTATTAAGAATAAATTCAACTTTAAAGTAACTTTTGGGTCTTAAGAAAATGACTACACAATCATCAAAAGATCACTACTTTTTAACAAATGAAGTTTAAATTTTTATTGCCTACACAAAAAAAAATCCCTCCTAAATATGTACTTAGTGGAAAATCAGTGGAATACAAAATGAGATGAATTTGTGCAAACTGTAACTTATGACATGCCTCACAGAACTTAAGACAAAATTGTGCAATGGTGGCAAAGGTCTTAATAGCCTATGAAAGTTAGGATCTAAATTCCTATGCAGTGTGACTCAGTCAACAGAGCCTAGAATTCCTGATTGAAATATTAATCAAATGGTATTTGCTGCTACATTCTTCCCACGATCATGGTAATGCCTATCACTGTGATTAAGCACTGGTGTTCAACTTCAGGATTTAAGGCTATAGTAACTACATAACATTTGTTTGTTGCTAGGACTTCTTCCCCTTAAAAAAAAAATCTCTACAAAACCTTTTTGTCAACAAAAGGATAACAATTCAGAACTACATACATAATGGTAATTATCATTCCTTTAACCATGCCCAAAAACATTAAAGACTGAACTGTCTTCAGTACTATCTGATTGTGCAGTGCAGCTCCTAAAGTCCACCTGCCCCTCCGTATAGAAACAAAAGTATCACTAATTGTGTTAAGATTTACTATCTGGGTGGTGGTTGCTTTAGTCCCAGCACTCAGGAGGCAGAGACAGGTGGATCTCTCTGAGCTCGAGGTCTACAGAGTGAGTTCCAGGACAGCCAGGACTACAGAGAAACCCTGTCCTTAGATGACCCCCCCCCGTCCCCCACCCAAAGGACTTAACATCCACGGATAGACTGTCCTAGGAATATGCAGAGTTTAGAACATTTCAGAAATCATTCTGATTTTGTTTCCTTTCTTGCAAATAAACTCAGGTTCCTGTTTATTTGTAGCCAAATAAAACTATATTAGAAGTTGGTATTTAATTTTTACAAGTTTTTAAAAACTATTTACATAAGGAGAAAACTAGATTAGGGAATGTCTATTCCTTTAGAAAAATGAAATAATTATATTAAGTAGCTTGAATAAAGAGTTGCATTGGAATCACACCAAACAATTCTTGCTGAATTGAGGGAAAACTGCAAGAGACCAAACCCCTCTCTGCAAAGCCACGCATTCTATTCTGTCTAAAGTCTTAGCGACCACATTGCACACCACCAGCAAAGACTGCGTCCCTTTTCTCTGGGGATACCACATCACATCTCCAGTGCCTTGTGTGGTGCCTAGCATTAAGACAAGCACTGAATAAATGCTGAGTAAATAAACTCTGACTTTAAGAGTGTTTTTCATTGCTAGACTGTATTTATTAACACAATGGCATCCATCACTAACCAGGATGGTACCTAGATGAAGACTAAGCTGTCCTTCCACAGACACTGCTCTCTCTGTTCACACTAGATTTGAACATCCCTTAGCCAACCGTGGACTGGGCTGCAGGCATGAAGTCCAAAGGATCAAGATTAAATTCTGTAGTGGCTCCTGAACACCAGCTATTAATTCAAATCCTGCTATGCCCACCTGAACACCAGCTATCAGTTCAGCTCCCACTATGGCTCCTGTTGGATTATTTTAAGCCCTGGGGACGAAAGTCATAGGCAGCTTTGCTGTACTTTCCTTAGTGGGCAACTTTCATGTAGTTGTTCATTGCAAAAATGATACTTGAAGTGGGGGTGGGGAGAATTAAAAAAACTACACTAAGACAGGGCACATAACGGAAGGGAGTCCTGCAACTGGAGAATGGGCACTGAAATACAAACTTGACCTCTTGCACAATTTTGCCCAAGACTGGTGTGAAGATGACAGTCCATGTGAAACGTTACAGATTGTGCTGAGAGTGACCACCTGGTGCAGCGGTGTGTAAACAGACTGTAAACTAACTGCACAACTCAGAAGAGTCTCTGAGATGATTTCACATCAAGTAGACAGTGATACGCTAAAGTCAGACTTCCAAAAGACAGACATCCAGTCTTCATAGTCCAGTGGACTTTAATTACTTCAGGTAATTCAAGGAATGCATTAGTGCATTGAAGGGATTGTTTTTGCTGTTAACTTATCTATTCTTAAAGCATTAGATATTTCTAAATACATATCAGGTTTGGGGAATACTTAGAAATGTTTGATCAGAGTTGAGAGACTAGTCAACATGCATTTTCAAACTTTTATACATCATTGTTTTGAAGATTTACTCTCCTTGTAGCCTCCTACCCCAAAATCTCAACCTTGAATCTAGCATTGAGATTTACTTAAATTGTTATTATTACAAACAAAGAAATACTGCTTTGCAGCAGAATTGCTACATGGTGAGAATACACTGTACTGAGCTGTCCAAACTCTCCTGTTCCCCATTTTGACCAGCACTGAATGTGGCAGCACTTAATCCCGGTAACACTCATCGCAGGGTCTTGGAAGGCCCAGCCTTTGATCTTAGCACCTTCTAACCCGTAACTGTCTCAAATCATCTTCAGTTTCTCAACCAGAATTAAAACTACTTTCAAGGACATAAGTTCAAAAGACTCAAGAGTTAAGCTAAGAACACTCTGACACAGGGGGTTATACTAATTCTTATGAGAACTCTTATATATATGTTAAAATTGAATTATTACAAAAATTTAGTAGCATGGAAATATGGCTCAAATGGTTACTATTTCTTAGTGGATCTGCCTTACCAGGAAAAACGATTAGAAATCTTACAGTAATTTACCCAACATGGAATGGACTTTTATTCACTATTTTCCATTAGCTTTCCCCCCCCATTTTTCCCCTTTTCTAGAAAAAATATACTATTCTGGAGAGTGACCATGACTAATAGCAGTGGAAAGCTAGAGAAAGTCTCTGAACAGTCTAACTAACTACACTTATGAAGGATGATAAACTCTAGGACTTGCTAGAGGTGAATCAAAGGGAAGCCCATAAATCTGTGATTCCTCAGTCTTAGTAGAACCAACCATAAGGTCTCAAATGAAGCTGTAATTACTAATTAGTTCACTGGATGACTAGATGAAACAGCAGGGATGGTTCAAAAGCTTCATTACTAGGGTTCACACAATGCTCACAACTGGTAAGAGAATTAGCACGGAATCAACTACATGCACCAAACCCCAAGACAGAGTCTCAGGTCTTTAGTCTCTTCCACAGGCATTGCTAGTTTAAGTCCAAAACCCAGGGAATACTGGCACTTAGAGAAAAGAGGTTTCCACTGTCATTTAAAAATAAGCATTGAAGATAAGAGCTGACAGCTTGCACGAACAGAAAAAAAAATTAGGTAATGCTAAAACAAATGCTAATAATTTAGTGTAATGTACAAAAATTATCACTTTTACTTAAGTATGCCTTAAGAAAAAAGTACAAATTGTATTTACATAATTACACACTTTGTCTTTGACTTCTTTTTCTTCTTTTTACCATCTTTGCTCATCTTTTCTTTATGTTTTCGAATTTCTCGGACTAATGTATAGAAGGCATCATCAACACCCTGAAATATATAAAAAAGAATTAAATGTTAGTGTATATGACGGTCTTAGGTACTGCAGTATAGACTTTCATTGCTAATGGAAAGTTTAATAAGGATAAGGAATAAAAAGTCCAGTATATGTTGATGTTCTGCCAGCTGAATGGGCCATGTTAGGATTAAGTATTTCTACATGGATACTCTGACATTTAAAAAAAATTAAATTAGTATTTTAAATTTTTATGCATTTAAAACAACTTAATGTAGATGAGTGTTTTGTGTGCATGTGCCCGTGCATCATGTGAGCACAGTGCTCAACCGAGGCCAGCAAAGAGCATCAAATCCCCAGGGTCAGGAGTTACTGACAGTTGTTAGCTGCCCTGTGGGTGCTGGGTGGCTGAGTCCTATGGAAGGATAGCCAGTGCTCTTAGCCACTGAGCCATCACTCCAGCCCTGGTATTCACAGCACACAATGATAGTAAGTGACGCGGACTCTTACATAAGCTTAACAAATGACCTTTTCTTCCCCAAAAGGACTTGATTTTCATACTAACTTTTCCCTGCTAACAAACTTAGTCACAGTTCCCAATGCCGGCTGGCCGGCCTCCATGTATGGTCTCCACTGCTGCCTTGACAGCTGTGATGCCACCAACCTCTGCAGGTGGCAGAGACACCCGAGAGATGATGTACTTGGCCATACTGCAGAAGATTCTCTGGCTGTTTTAGTACTGTTTAGCCACTCAAAACTTGTCATATAAATGTTTATCTTCAAAGAACAGTCAACATTAGTCATCAAGACCTATAGCTATTTGTCATTAAAGCAAAACACATAAATCAGTTGTGACTAAAGCTGATTAAGTCAGAGTAATTTCCAACCTCCTAGACCCCGGCAGGAAGAGTGCACTCCCCTCCAAGTAGGAGAACTCACTTGAGACCTTCAATGCCCAAGTTTACACTGGAGTTAGCCCTTGCTTATCTGTGTCAAAAGCAAAAGTGAAGCTGAAGAAAGAAGTGGTCAGGATTTATTCCATCTGCTCACCCTCATAGGAACTACAGAAAGAAATTTTAGCCTAATAATACTTCCAAACCTAGACAATCGAGGGAGTCTAGAAAACAAGTACCCCCAAATTTAAGCCACTTGTATCCTTCCAAGTTACAGGACTCATGCTGACAACCAATCTCTAAAGTTAAAAAGTAGAGTGGCAATGAAGCTTGCTCACACTTAGTAGGATAGCATCGGTATCATCTATTTGAATGCAAGTGAATAAATCTATATTGCCCAAAATCTCCAATCTGTACTCACTGGTGCTTTTCACCTCCTGAAACCATTCCTGATACAACACAAGCAATACAATCAAGATTAATTAGATACCTCCTTCCCTGCTGTCCTTAATTCACAAATCGAAACTCTTAGGATCACAGACCCTGGGAATTGGATGCAATCTTTTTGTCTGCATACATACGATGTGTATGGGAGGGATATGGATGTGTGTGTGTGTGGGGGGGGTACCTGTGCATTCAAGTGGAGGCCAGAAAAGGACACCGTGAGTCTTGTTCTAGCACCCCACTGATTACTTCTGGCTCCTCCCCGACCCTGGAATTGCAGATGTCACCTGACAGCTATGTGTGGTTTGTAGGAACTAGAACTCAGGTGCTCATATTAGTGCAGCAAGCATGCACATTCACTAACCATCTCCCAGCCCAACACAGAATCTTATCTAACTCTCTTTTAACCTCATGATTATGCTATCTACTCTATTTCAACTTTTTTTTAATCACATTCATTTATTTTTGTATTTGTGTGTGTGTCCTGGCACACATATGGAAGTCAGAGGACAACTTCAGGTTTTCTCCGTCCACCAAGTAGATCTGAAGGATCAAACTCAGGTCTTCAGGCTTGACAGCCATCTCATTAACCCTCAAACTATTCTTCTTACAACAAGGATGGCACTAAGACAATGGTGCAATAAAGACCCTGAGAGGGACAGCTGTAAGACACCCTTTAAGGTGGAATAAAATACAAGCACTTAAGAGTCGGGGAAGACAGAATTAAACAGCATTTTCCCTATTCTCAGGCTCTGACAGTCTGTTAGCCTCTAACTGCATTAATTCTAATTAGGTTAGAGAAATGTGCACGGGGCAGTGAACTCCTTGTTCTTGTGAGACCTAATTCTCATAACGTTACATCTCATATTCTAATTATTTTGTTTACTCTTACCCCTTTTCTAGGACTGTGAACAACTAATTTGTACATATGTATCATTATTAAAAATTTTAAATAATTATAATTTTAAATATCATTAATTAAATACCCTTTATATATGAAGTGCTGTGTGCACTAAAATCACAGTGATTCAATTCAGAGAGTCAACTATTAACATTCACACCAGTCATTGCTACAAACTGAATCTTTTAGACATTTAGCGGAGTGTGGTTCTGCCTGTTTTGAATATGATGTTAAGTGTACCACATACTCTAAGTATCGTTCTATTTTAAAATAATCTAAGAGTGAGGCTGTAGAAAGGAGAATAAAGTTAAAATCACCACTTAAATCTGGTCATGACAGTTATTCCAAGGGTTAACTTCTCAAATTCCATTTTTAATGTTGAATTGTACCATAATCTCTAAAAGTGAAGTATGGCTTTACCCAATGATATAAATTCTAGAAAGCCATGCAAGTATTGCTTTGTTTCTGAGTTTACATCTCTCAATCTGAAACACTAATTTTGTTTCATGTCCTCAAGGACACATCCATGACAACATCCCCCACAATCACTCACTGAGTGAAGCATTTTCTGACCTGGGTTAATTTACACAAGAAGGTCAAAGGATCCACTCAGTATTTACTAGTAAGTACGTATGTGTCAAGAATTTCAGTATGCAATGGGCACACAAAGATTAAAATATATGGTCCAGCTCTAGAATTCTATTGTCTAATAAAAGAATAAAACATAAGCTATTTCAATGCAATATAAGCCATATAGTTAAAAAGTGCATACTGGAAATGCAGAAAACAACAATGCCCACTTTGAGGGGCTGAAGAGATTCTCAGAGACTGGGGAATCACATGTTAGCTGGTTGATCAAACTGGGGAGAAGAATACAGATGATCCAAACAAGAGGCAACACTGAAGGGAAGGCAGGGAGGGATAACATGGCGTCTATGGATGGACAAGACTCTGGCAAGATGGTATTTTCTCAGATTTAAAGTTCCAAAAGTCTGGTGAAAAGGGAGAGTGTTAGGGGCCATATAAGGAATGTACAGAGTCCTGTGCTCCCTGTGTGAACATCACAGACTGGCGTTCCTCTGAAGCAGCCTGTAAGTGGATAGCGGCGGCTACAAGCAAGCAGCACAGGGTGCATCAGAGGGTGTGAATCCTGAGACTCTTCCAGTGGGTGCAGGAGCACAGCGGGAAAACCAGGCAACTTGTTAGGCCCTCTCCCACCCCTAGGTCATAGTATTATTACACATTTTTTACTCAAAAGCTGCTGGCTATCTTAAATCTGAATTCCCTTAAAAATGTAATTAGTTCCCAAATGCTTAGCTTACTTGAAACTAATGAAGTTATTAGGGTTTATGACAAATGCAGATTAGTCTACCTTAGCCATCAATTATATTAATCACTTTTAAAATAAATGTACTCATTTAGAAACAAATGACAGGTTTCTTATGTCTTAAAATGTCAAAGCAGAACACCATTTCTAAGTAGTTCTGACGGCTTTGTTACCTTTGAAAGACATCTGCTTTGTACCAAAATGAGTATGCTGAACTTACCAGATTACATTACAATGCATTTTTTAATTTTCACACAGCCAGGAGTCTTTTCTTCTTTGCTGATTTTTTTCAATCTGTACTGTCGGATCTCTCTCACCAATGTATAAAAAGCATCCTCCACTCTCTGCATTGTAAAACACAACTTCTTTAAAGTCCATTTCATTTGGAAGAGTAATTTACTGGGATAGCCATGTGTAAGAAGTTTGAATTGTGAGCTTTACAATTGAAAAAAAATTTTAAAGCAGACATCAGATTGAATAAAATTGAGGATGCAGCTTTAAAACATGAGCTAGAGCCTGGTTTGTTCTCAAAAGTAATTTTTTATTGGAATAAAGATTTAAATTTTTAGTTAGGAATCAGAGGAGACCATGAAAAGCCTAAGTGTAAGTCTTTGTTTCTTGACACAATGATTGAAGCTGGGTTTGCACTTAGGAAGACACGTGATCTCCATGTATCACTCATGTCACCTTCCACCCTGGGAAGCAGGTGAAGAGAGGCAGACTGGGGACATGAAGCCTTGCTAAAACCAAACCCAAACCCCATGTCCCAACCAAAATGAGTCCAGACACTGGACCCTCCAGTTTCATCTTCAATTTGGTCCCAAGGTCCATGTAAGACTAGCACCACAGTGGAAGGATGGATAATTACAGTATTTAAATGGTAAGTTAAATAGGGGCCACTTACCAAACCAAGAAAACTCCACAAAGCATGTGAAATATGTAAGTAGGAGCAACCCATTTGTATCCTTACATAAGTCTCACACAGCCTGCAGAGCACAGGCAGACACACTGCTGAGTACCTTCTATCTTTCATCTGCATGCTCTAAAGAAGGGCTCTCTTTGGTGCTTTAGGACTGAGTGCTTTGACTGTATGCAAGACTGTGTACCTTGTGTGCACCTGGTGCCTTCAGGTCAGAATGAGCAGATGGCCTAGACAGGCCAACAGCGGCTGTGAGCCACCACATGGGTCCTGGGAACGGAACCCAGAGCCTCTGCACCAACAGTTAGTTAGTGCTCTCAACTGCTGAGCCAGAGCTCCAGCCCTTGAATGGGGCTGTTCTGGTTTAAGGCTGTGGTATATATCAAGCTATAACAAGGAGATTCATAAATAGCCTTTATGGAGAAAGAGGTTTTTACTTTCTCAAAACAGAGTAATTAGGCAATAACCTAAAAGGCACAAAGTACTCATAACTGTAATGCTAATTTCTTAAAAAATGCACCACCAAAGTAAAAGCCTAAGAGAAATGTCCAGAAACTTCACATACGTGTAGTACAAACTCAACCTCAGATATAATACTTATGTCCATTCTTCTAAAAGAAAAGTAAATACTTAGGAAAGCTGGCATATTTTATTACATATTTAACTTTAAACTTATTTCCTTTCGATAATGAATTGCTTACATAGGGGAATGATTTTTCTACAACTGGTAAAAAGCAATGTTTCCATTGAACTACATGTGATAAATGTACCTAACACCTAGTATATGAAAAACACTTTACAATTTTAAATACAACCAGGAATGGAGAATCCAGCACTCGGTATTGAGGGAAATAAGCCAACAACTAGGGCTTGATTTTTGCACATGTAAGTCATTTGCTGCCTTCAACAGTTAAGAAAAAGATACTTCAATAATTTAGGGCACATTAAGTTTTACAAATCTCAAGAATGCATTAAGAACTGCTTCAATGACATTCAGTAATTTACCTTTAAAATTCATAACACTGAGTGTCAGTAAAGAGGCAGGCATCTAAGTAATGATTCCATATTAAAATATGTATTTCTGGCTAATACCGTGTGCCATTCAGTGAAAGATACTCACTTCAAATGATGTTAATAGTAAAAATCGTTACAGCTCTATTTGTGTGAATGTGTGTGTGTACAGGTGCCTCTGGAGGCCACACGGAGGCACCAGAGCTGGAGTTACAGAGGGTTTGCTAGCCATCCGAGTGTGAGGCAGGAACCCAAGTCTTTTGTTTGTGTTTTTGTTTCTCAAGACAGGGTTCTTTGTGGAAAGCACTTTGCAGACCAGGCTGGCCTCTACAATCCGCCTGCCTCTGCCTCCTGAGTGCTGGCATCGAAGGCATGCGCCACCACCATGCACTTTATCAGGCACTCTAAAACCCTGAGCTGTCTCTCCAGCGCCCCAACCCAATCTTACTTCAATGGAATCAATTTAATCAACTGACTACTTAAGCTACAGGGGGAGAAACATTTTCAACTTTTAAAAATCACTAAATGTGCCATTTAAAATAAAATCCCTAGTTGTATCTGCATGTACTAGTTTTTAGCATTTTTATCATTCATCCCCAAGGCAAAAGTTTTACTTATTTATTCTTCAAAAATATATCAGAAATGTTCATACTATATAAAATTAGTTATTTAAGATAAATGGCTTGCAAAGCATTTAAAATGTAATTATATATTTTCATAAATATTATTCTTTTTTAACTTGAAAGTCAATGAAGGAAATTCTTCATGTATCTATACATTTTTTATACATACAAAGAGGCAAAACCAGGCAACAGCTCATATTTTCTTAAAATCTTACAGAATATAAATCTTTATTCCTTTCTTAAGAAAAAAAGGTATGTCAATGTGCTATGAAAGGAAGAAAAAGAGGGTATTTGTCCTCTAATTTAACAGAAGCAAAATTTGATAGTAACAGTTTGATGTGTCTGCTTTTGAGTGTGAGCATCCCCATCACCAATATAAGAATCTATGATTTGTTTCCAGCAATGCAGAGAGAGAATTGGAAGCCAATAATTAAAGAGACAACTGCCCATCACCAGGAATTCAGTATTAGGATATCAGTGGCCAAGATAAGTACACCAAGAAACAGTTACTACAGAAGAGCTTTCTGTTTCTTAATTTTACAAATATGGAATGTAAATTCATTTTAAAAAGTTATTTACCACATTTTCCATACTTAGGTACTCTTGAAAATATGCTTCCAAGTTATAATGACATCAACAGAATTTGAGAACATCGTTATTAATCATTGCCCTACCACAGCACCGTCTCTTACTTTTAAATACTACATGCATATAGAATATTGATTTTAATGTTCTGAACTTTGAAGTAATATTTAAAAATAAGGTAGTTACAACTACTTGCTAAGCCTCTACAGTGCACAGTGATTTGTCCTTGAGGGTATAATTTATTGCAGCATTTTCTCACTTTAAAATGTCACTGAGTGAACCCTAAGAGCAAATGAAAATATGTGTAAACAAGAGTATCCAAGTTTAAGTATGTAAGTCCTTTTTTAAACAGAGAGATCTAACAATGTTTCAAGCCTATAGTAGACGAGATTATAGAAACAGAGCAGCCCGCTAGAGACGTGCTAACAAATAAAATTCTTCATTGCTCTCAGGAAGACATTACATTTTTATCAAGTGCATTCTTCCTTGTTGAATCTGCAAAACAACTTGCAGCATTCTGTCAGGGATGACACACATGAAGCAATAACACTGGCTTCTCGGTGAGAGAATGCAGAAACCAGACACATTTCCCAGTACCAACCTCACATCTCTGATTGTCCTTAAGAAACAAATGACAACCCCATCTCAGACCTACTGAAGTGCAACAGAGCAAGTGTCCAGTAACTGTCCATCTCTAACTCAAAGTTCAAGGCACTGTACTCATGAGGAAAGAACAATTATTAGATAAAGCACCTGAGGCTTTAAACTTTGTTTTCCTTCTTAAACAGCTTTATGATAAGTTTTCTTTCAGAGAGACTACCAACTAACTTTACATAATTAACAACAAACCAAGAAATTAATGAGTATTGAACAACTTTTATGTTTGGAAACTAACCTTTACACCATCCAATCAAACCACTAAACGTAAAAAGGCTGGATTGACTAATCTGAGACCCCAGTTTGTCATCTACCTGACACCCACTCACTCTGACTTTTTTGCAGGCTGGCAAGCTCATAGCTAATCCTCAAGGTGTTCAGGGTTTCAGACTTCAACAGCCTTTTCTGATGCGCTGTCCAAAGGAATCAGAAAAATCTATCAACTCCTAAGTGTCTTGATAAATGGGAAGTAACACTCTTTATAGACCAGGAATATTGGGGCCACATATTAGCACACCAGCAAATTTAATTTAGCTCCTCTACCCTTTCAGATAAAGACACAAAAACAGCTAAGCACAATGCCACTCATCTGTAGTCCCAGGGGACAGGGAAACAGGGTCACTTTGAGCCTAGGAGTTCATCTGGGCAACACAACAAGACCATGTTCATTCTACCTATCTATCTATCTATCTATCTTGATGGGGGACGTCCTTCTATATTTGTTTCTCTTATTGGTTGATGAATAAAACACTGTTAGCCAATAAGGCAGGAAGATAGGTAGGACTAGGAGATGAGGAGAATTCTGGGAAAGCTAGGCAAAGAAAGCCCACCAGAAACAGTTGCCATGTAGGCTGCCCAGACCCTTCTCCAGTAAGATAAGACCAAGTGGAATTACTTAGATTAATAGAAATGGGTTAGTAATTAAGACAGAGCTAGGCAATAAGAAGCCCTAGTCATCAGCATCCATGTGTTTATTTTGGGGCTCAAGGGCAGTGGGACCAGCTGGGACAGAAAGTTTCAGCAATACTATCTGTCTGTCTGCCTGCCTGCCTACCTATGTATCATCTATCTATCTATCTTCTATCATTATATACTGGTAAGGTAATGTGTATTATAACATTAGCGAATAATGTATTGGTAAAAATATGTATTCTGTAACCCATATTTGGAAAAGTAATAAAATACAATGTTTTTCACTAAATACACAATTTTTGGTTTAAAATGGTAAAATCAGCCTGTGAGTTTTGGTTGAAGGTCTTGTGTGACTACAAGAGTCTCATCAACTGACATCTAGGGAGGTTGAGATTAGCATGTTACAACCTACAGGCCAAGTACAAGTAGGGTCTCAATTGTTCTGATACAAGTCAACAAGGAGTTTTATATTTTCAAGGCTTCTTAGGGAAAATAATGTGTAAGATACAACATTGCTATCTGGGCCTCTGTAAAAAATGCTTGCTGCCCCTTGACTTATACCTTTGAGAACTTCCATGAATGTTCAGTTCCTATTGCCATAAATAGATTTTTTTCTGATGCTTAAGAAACACAATACTTAATTAAAATAACAAATAAGCAAAATGCTTCCCAAAAAGGAGTTTCAAATTTTTATAAAAACTGGAGATGTAAAATTTACTAAAATGTACATTATATGTTATAGATTACTAAAATTATTTGGAGTAGCTCTTTAGAATCTTCCAAAACTTTATAAATAGCAAATTGATTTCAAGAATTATTGATTCTTCAAAGCAAATTTCTAAATAAATCAGTTCTAAATTTACTTCTAAATAAGCCATCAAATCCACTGAAAAGTGAATATCTAAGTTATAGTCTAGCAACATACTGTTACTTAAAAGAGATCAATAGACTACGCTTAAGAAGTTCTTGTATAAGTTACCTCTATATATGTTAGATGACTCACACTATCAAAAAAGCAAGTTAAGTTCATCTATTTCTATACCATATGCCTTTAAACTGACAAAGTAAGCTGGGCATGCTGGCACGTGCCTGTAATCCCAGCACATGGAAGGTAGAGGTAAGAGTTCAAGGCCTGCAGCTGCTACATAATGAGCTTGGACTTGCCTGGACTGTACAACTGCCAAAACACTAAAAACAAAACAAAAATGAACAAAACAAAATAATTTTGAAAGGTGTAAGTGTGTGAAAGGTGTAAGTGTGCGTGTGTGTGTGTGCGCGCGTGTGCACGCACGCGAGAAAGAGAGAAGGGGGAGAAGAGTCAGAGACAGAGGAAGACAGAGGCAGAGGGAGTGAGCACGAGAGGGCATTGTATACTAAAGCATTTCTGTCAAACAGGAATGATGAATTAAAAGCAGTTTTTCGGCTCTTTCCAAGTGAGAAGTGGACAGCAACACTGAGATGGTAACCAAGTCCCTTTGGCTGTGCTCGGTGACCTTTCTACTGTGGCCCACCTCCCAAACCAGCACTGCCTCAAAGTGCAGAGGAATGCAGTCACCGGCTTCAGCACAGACACACTGGATTAAAGTCTGCAATCTGACTTTAATAAGGTCTGCTGACTTGTGTGCATGTTCATGTATGAGAGGCTCTTCTGTGTTGCAACCCAAATGGGCTTTTCGTTTTTTTGTGAAATGTCAGCTACAGTGGTCACCAGGATGACAGGTATCTTTCTTCCTATATTGAAACAATGCAAGTAGTAAAATGTAAATGGTAAAGTCTATGTAGTAAGTTCTCAATAAAATTCTTACATTTCATATTTGAATTCTTTCAAAAGAAATGTTTCTAACATAGAAGAAACTTACAGCTATTAATTATATTTTCTGAGCTGCTTCTGAGGCTGGTCATAGACCAGGAAATAGAACATAGAATCAAACCTCTTCCTGTCTTTAGAATGTACGGGGTGGTTGTGAAAGAAATAGCTCCTATATCGTGAAGCCAAATGATGCACATCAGACCTCTGTAAACTCTAAGTCAACTATGAACAAACTGGTACCCAGGAGGGAGACACCCATGTTGACAGAAACCCACTTTTTTTTTTTTTTTTTTTTGCTTTTTCGAGACAGGGTTTCTCTGTGGCTTTGGAGGCTGTCCTGGAACTCACTTGGTAGTCCAGGCTGGTCTTGAACTCACAGAGAGAAACCCACTTTTTAATCCAAACGAAGACATCAAACAGAATTCACTGTTTTCTTTCAACAGGCACCCTACTTGTACAAACAAGAGGCACATATGTCCTCCTACGGAAATTTCCTTCTATTTATCCATCTATCTACACATTTGAAATTTGTTTAAATTTTTACATCCCCCACAAAATTCAGTAAACATTTCTACAATGACTCTTACCACTTACAGTCACGAGAAGTTAAACTTTACAAAATCATTTTATGGGGGTTCCCATAAAAGCTCCAAACAAATTTATGAGCTATAAATAAACTAATTATTCAGTACATGAAACTGTTTTCCAGTCAGCCTTTATGAAATCATTTCTAGGACTCTTTTTCCTATTTGCTAAATTTTGTGCAAACAAACAAATGATGTAATTATCAACTGAAGTTTAATGTTACTTTTAAAAGGAAAATGATTTTGAAACACAATTCAGACTCTATCTGACATATACATTTGTCAGAACAATATAGTAAATAGTTTAAGAATGTCTATTCATTTTCTAAATATTCTCTTATTTTAATCACAACTTTCTCCCTAAAGTAATAGATCCTCAAAAATAGCACAAAAACTTAATCTAGAAACATAAATTGACAGGATTTCTCTGTGTAGCCCTAGCTGTCCTGGAACTCACTCTGTAGACCAGGCTGGCCTCAAACTCAGAGATCCACCTGCTTCTGCCTCCTGAATGCTAGGACTGGAGGTGTGCACCACCAAGCCCAGCTGAAAAATGAATTTTTAAAACTGCTTCTAAAATAATAAACTCAAAGTTTATTCCACCATTCTTTGCCTTTATCATTTAAGTGGGAAAAATTTTCCAAGACTCTTGAATCCTAATATAAAATGTACTCTTAAGTGGAAGAAAAATGATCAAAATGAAAAGAAAAAATACCAGGCATAGTGGAGCACACCTGTAATTCCAGTACCTGGAAGACAAGAGTTGGGAGATTGAGAGTTCAAGCCCCGGCTGGGGGACAGAGAGAAACCTTCTTTCAATTACCACCATCACAAACACAAACACAAATACACACACACATGCACGCACACACGCACGCATGCATGCACGAAAGACAGAGAGAGAGAGAGAGAGAGAGAGAGAGAGAGAGAGAGAGAGAGAGAGAGAGAGAGAGAGACAGAGACAGAGACAGAGACAGAGACAGAGAGAGAGACAGAGGGAGACAGAGGGAGACAGAGAGAGACAGAGGCAGAGAGAGAGAACCCAAAGTAATATCATGGTCCCTGATTAGAAAGTACTGTCCACTCAAGAGAAGACATTTGCCAAATAAACATGATTTATACTCTATGTCAGGATAATAGAGAGAAAGACCGATGAATCACACTAAATGATTAACATACAACAACAGTTATACTAGCATTCATACTCTCAAGTACTTACATTTATTTTGGTTTACTTACCTGTCTTGTCTTTGCTGAGGTTTCAATAAATGGAATCCCGTAACTTCTTGCTAAGTCCTGAGCCTGTTTTGTGTCTACTGTTCTAGAAGGCAAATCACATTTATTCCCTACTAGGACCATAGGCACATCTTCAGAGTCTTTTACTCTTTTAATTTGTTCTCTGGGGGGAAAAAAACAAACAGAAGCATCAGCAACACAACAATATTTCAAACTCTGACCTCAACTTCCATCCTATAGATTTATTTCTTCATGTAAATCCTAGTTTCCACCATACCAAATTTCCCTTGCTTCTCTTATTTTTCCATATACTGATACAATCCAAACTCAACAAAAAGGATTCATTTGAATGAGTGTATACAACAATAAGAAACATACTGGAAAGTTACAAACCAAAAGTGCTATGTATAAAATTGTCTTAGAAACACGATATACAAATATGTATTACATCACTGAAAATGGTTTCATCTACCAGGTATGGTGGTGCACACCTTTATTCAGGAGACAGAGGCAGGAGGAGTTCTGTGAATTCCAGGCCAGTCTGGTCTGTAAAATGAATTTCCGGCCAGCCAAAGCTGTGCAGTGAAACCCTGTCTCAAGAATAAGTCTGTACTTGTTTTTACCCAAACATGAATTATCAGCATCAGCATAACTTTGACATTTCAGAGGCCTTTCCCTGCCATTTGTGGGCAAATATTCTGAGAATCCCAAACAAATGCTTGAAACTGGGGATAGTACCAAACCCTTCATATACTATTTCCCCCAAGTGTACATACAAATATAGTCTGACAATGTAGGTATAGTAAGAGATTAATAAACAAAAATTGTAACAATATGTAATAGAAGCTATTCAAGTCTTAGGAATCCTTTATTTCTAGAAATTTCTATTTTAGTATTGTCAGACTTAAGTGAGCATGAGTAAAATGTCAAAGAATTAACTGTGAGTAAGGGGGGCTACTGTACTATTCAAGAGAGAGATAATAAGTGGAGAGACAGGTTTTGACTTTAGGGTTTGGTCATGCATGAGTCTCTGTGCATAGGTAGGTCTGTGATGTAAGTTCAGGTGTCAGTGGAGGGCAGAAGTATTGGGTTCCCTGGAGCTGTAGTGGCCATGAGATGACTGACATGATACTGGGAATTAATTTGGGTCCTCTAGAAAAGCAACCACGTCAGTAACTCCTGAGCCATCTCATCTCTTCAGCCCTGAAGATGGATTTTTTTTTAATTTAAAAAAGCAACACTAAAGAAACTACAATGTGCATTCTGCTAAAGTCCTTTTCTTGTGTGGCTGTCGATGTAACCTACAAATAATTTCTACATTTGGAATAGAACTATTCCTCCACAATTTTCTGTGATTGTCTAAAACGCTGCTTGGAAGCTCAGTAGAGTGGTTCATACCCCCAGGGGCTCTCTGTCAGCAAAGCTCACCTGCCCCACTACAGAAATGCACTCCAGTCATTCCACCCCTACTCACCAGCAACTACTCTTCACTCAGCTGGCACACGGCTATGTGGCACAGCCAGGAAGGGGATATTGCTTAATGAGCAGTGTAAGGAACACTGTAAACTTTCAGGGAAAGAATGTAAAGTACATTTCATGGGATGATTATGTAATCTTAGGTACATTTGTCAGACTCTAATTCTTCAACTTCTTATACCCCCTACATGTATTTTTTTAAAAAACTGCATAAGGCCACTGCTTATCCAGCCCATGAAATTCTGTAATAATATGATCATTTTTAAGATCATTTGAGTGGCACCATCTCAAACCATCTTTCCATGTTTCTGCTTCTGGCTGCTATTTTTGTGTTTCTAAAATATCAAAAGCTTTACTTCTCCCATGTAACATAAAAAGAATATAAAAGGCCCTGTTGTCAGCCAACACCACTGCTACCTGCACAAACTGGAACAAGTTATGCAGCTGCTGCAACCCCTAAGAGATGCATTTGTGAAACTAGAATTCTGCATACTTGACACAGATGTTTTCCAATTTAAATAGATAATACAGGCAAAACAATTAGCAAACAATCAATAAATGAAAGCTATCATTACTTCTCAAAGCCAACTTTCATATTCAGCTTACACCCACCTATAATGGTGAATATCTTCAAATGATTTAGTATTATTTATGGCAAATACACAAAGAAAGCCCTCCCCAGTCCTCATGTACTGGTCCCTCATTGCACTGTACTCCTCTTGACCTGCTGTGTCGAGAATGTCCAAGAGACAGGTTTCTCCATCAATTACTACTTGTTTCCTGTAGGAGTCCTGAGGAGGTAGAAACACAGTCTGGGTTATTACAGTGCATCTTTTAAAAGGTGGACATACCCAACTCCCCATTCAAAAGGGGCACTTTAGATAATCTCCAAAGCAGACAAGTGCCCAATAAGCACTTGAAGACACCATCAAGAGAAATGAAAATCAAAACCATGAGACCAATTTAGCATCCATTATGATGGCTACAGGCAAGCACCTGGGGGGGGCAGAGGCAAGCAGATCTCTGTGAGCTCAAGGCCAGCATGGTCTACACAAGTTCCAGGACAGCCTAGTCTACATAGTGAGACCTGTCTCAATGCCCCCACCACCCAAAGAAACAAAACCTAACAACTAAGAGTTCCTAAAGATGATGTGACAAAGACCCATATAGCTGCCCTGTAAGAAAAATCTGCCAATCCCTGTGGGTAAGCCACTAAAATAACATCACAAATTTGAACTATTCTGAAAACAAAGTGTTTATTTCCTTACTTAAAAATAAAGTACACAATACCAAAGTTCAGCCAATTTTAAAATAGATCCTACAAGGAAATTAGTTAATGAGACAAAGCAAAGCACCGACATTTCACATTTTAAATGAGTGTCACTCAATTATAAAGATCACATGTTCTGCCCCACATTACAGCTCCTTAATCTAAACCCAGAAATGTCCTAAAGTCCAAAATATTGGATGTTCAACCTGTAAAATATGCACAAACATTCCAAAAATCCTAGAAACTAAAATCTGAAAGTGTTGTAGAATAATCTTTTTGTACACTGTAAAGATGTGTCTTTGCCAAGACACCTGACTGGTTTAATAAAGAACCAAATGGCCAATACCTAGCCAGGAAGGGGCTAGGCAGGACATCTGGACAGAGAGAGAAGAGATCAACCTAGGCATGGGAGAGACTCCAAGGGATACAGAGTGGAAACAGGAGGTGCGAGATGGAAGAGATGTAAGAAGTCACGAGGCAAAACATAGATTAATAGAAATGGGTTAAGTTGTAAGAGCTAATGGGACACGCCTAAACTATAGGCTGAGCTTTCATAATCAATAAGCAATGTAATTTTTTGAGAGTTGGTGACCCAAAGATAAATCCATTGGCACAAAACATTTTTGGTTCCAAGAATTTCATATAAGATATTCAATTTGTATGTAGTTTCAAAAAGGGGGATCTGTTTATCTTTCTTTTCCTTTTTTTTTTTTTTTTTGGCTTTCCCGGCCCCCCCCCCAAACAGGTAGTCCTGGAAGTTGCTATGTAGAACAGACTGTCCTAGAACTCAGAGAGATGGCCTACTGCTGCCTTAAGTGTGGGAATTAAAGGCATGAACTACTATGCCTGCCTGGTGGGTTTTTTTTGAGCAGTATCACTATGTAGTCCAGACTAACCTCAAATTAAAAATCCTCCTGCCTCAGTCCCCAAGTGGCAGAACTACAGATGTGTACCAGCTCAACCAGCTCAGCCTATAAATAGAGGAAGTCAAGCCAAGGAAAAGAAATTAGTGTAAGCAATTAAGGAAATGGAGATGTTACCCCTGAGCAGGACTAAGTGCAACGATACCATAGGAGAGATGAGTTTCCCTAGATGACTCAAGAAAGACGGGGAGGAGGTGTCTGGAGACAGGAGCAGAGCACCACGCATTCAAAGAGTTCAACACGTCTTACCGTAGTGGGGATAAGATTAAGTAGCAGGGAGTGAAACAGGGTAACCAAGCAAAAGCCAGTGTGCAGAGTCCTGCACGCACCTCTCAGGAAACCCTGTACTTTATTTATCCTGTCCAATCATCACTGAAATGCCTTTAGGTAGGCAGGGACCTAAGAGGCTCCATCCTAACTCCGGGCATTGTAACGAACTGTAGAAAGAGAGTTTGCTTGTTCTCCTTCCAGATGCTGCTTCAGCGCAGCACACACACTCAAAAGGCACCAGCATGGCAGGCGGAGCCTCTGCACCATTGGGCACACTGTGAGTTTTTAATTCCAATGTCCCCCAAATCTTCACAGCAATTCTGATTATCAGGGATGGCAGCCACTTCTCAATTAGCATACTACTTCAGTATTGCTTTTTAGGCTTCCAATGCCTAATTAACTAACTCTCCATATGACGTTCTCAATATGGAAATATCTAGTGCACTTCTGACTTCAATAATTGTAAAAACAAAAGGGAGAGAGGAGGAACTGGGGGATAAGGAAATGATTACAAGAGACAAAAGTACGTTCCTGAGGTGGCCACGATGGCAGGGATGAGAAAGCTGCCTAGCTGTGAGAACAGGGAGCTGTGTCACTGGCACAGCTGTCCTCACAGGTAGCTGGTAGGAACATAGAAGTGGCACAGCAGCTGTGGGCAGTAACTTGACAGACCCTCAAAAAGTCAACTAAGGAAGACAGTGACACAGAAACCTGTACATAAATGTGCAACAGGACTAATACTCAACACAGCCCTAAAGGAGAGCCCAAATGTCCATTAATTAGTGAACGGATAAACAAAATATGGTATGTCCACAATACGAGGAACGAAGTGGTAATAGTTTAACAAGGCTAGCCACCGAAGACATGTAAAAATCAGACACAGAGAGCTACACTGTAAGAGTCCACGTACATGACATGTCAAGAACATGCATATGCAGACAGAAAGCAGTTAGTGGTTGCCAGGCAGGTCTCAGTGATCAGAACAGAAATCTAAGCTAGAGACAGGCCTGGAGTCTTCAGCTACAGGCAGCTATAGACCTTTCCTTCCTTGTGGTATGGAAACTACTTGTAGTATTAGCAAACTACTTCATCTCCCATCTACTCTGAGCCACTGTTCTTTCAGTAATTAAAAAAAAGTGGATATAATCATACACAGGACAAATATTAAAAACAACAAAAATCCCTTCATAAACTGAAAAATGCTATAAAAAGTTAATTATAATTTATCAAGCGTGCCACTACTGACCAAAAAGGTATGACACAGGTCACAGGCGTCAGCAACTGTCCAGAAGCACATCTTGACCTTATAAAATCACAAGACATCTGTACTGAGAGTGATCTTCTCAATTCTAGTTAAACCGTATCAAAACACAATGTCTGAACAAGTCCAACGAAGGAGACCTAAACTAACAGTTCAGGATTTCTATTTTGATTGGTGAACAAGGATATTAAACATCTTGTGTTCATGACAACGTGAGATTACAAAATTCTTTAAAAGTCTAGATAGAAAAACAAAAACGTATTTTCCAAATTCCTAGAATTAAGATAACACTTTACATTAGAGAAAATAAAATGTGTATTGCTCCTAAGAGATAAAACTATCATTAGTTCAAAAATCTGAATGAAGCCACGGAAACAGGGTTTTGAACAAGAGTATTACACAGTGCGTATCTATCACCTTCTGAAGTCACAGGGCATTCTCCCAGTTACTATTTGTGACAGGCAAGACTACGGGGCTAAAATGGCCATGCAGTCAGTCTTAGCGATTACAGACGCCAATGTAATTCTCGTGCCTCACAGAACTCTCTTTACCTGGCCTTGATGTCAAGTTCCTTAAACCAAGAATACACCCATATTGTTAAACGCACTGTAACTTTAAAAAGAGGGCACTCTAGTTTTAACAGTCTCATCATCCAAAACGCCATTGCTCTACTTCAAATCAGTATTTAAGTCTCCTCAGCTCCAATAGAATCTACTTACTTTTGAGGTATATGTATGTGTATCTGCTTATAAAAACTGAATGATCACAGAGGATGAAGGAGGAGCTAAATTGGGTCTCAACACAATGTGGTGTGGCCCAGCCTACATAATGAACATTTTTCAATGTTAGTGCACATAAACCTACTTAATCTTTTCCAACAATTTGTAAATATAACCTGTATGAATAGACCATAATATTATGCACTAAGTTTCCATTGGCAGACATGTAGTTATTTTCATGTTTTATTTGATGTGTGTGTGTGTGTGTGTGTGTGTGTGTGTGTGTGTGTGTGTGTGTGTGTGTGTGTGAGGAGGGAGGGAGGGAGGGAGGGAGGAGGGAGGGAGGGAGGGAGGGAGGGAGGGAGGGAGGGAGGGAGGGAGAGAGAGAGAGAGAGAGAGAGAGAGAGAGAGAGAGAGAGAGAGAGAGAGAGAGAGAGAAGAGAGAAGCATGTGCAGGCATGCACGCACCTGCCTGAGTGTATGTAAGTAAATCATGTATGTATAGGTACCAGAAGAGGCCAAAAGGAGGCATCAGATGCTGGAGAGCTGGAATTACAAGCAATTGCAAGCTGTCCAATATAGGTGCTGGGAACCAAACATGGGTTTGATGAAAAATCTTTACTGGCACAATAAAATTCTTGCTTAAAACATATATTTTAAGCATTTAGCAATTAATTATCTGGTCAAAGGACATGCAGTTTGTATTCGTGGCCAAACTGATCACCAAAGAGATAAATGAAGTTGTGCACACCAGAGCAGATTCCCATATTCTTCCTAGGAATGATGCTAACACTATCTAATATTAAAGTATGTTATATTTTTTTAAAAATATTTTTATTTTATGTGCCTTAGTACTGTACTGCTTAGTGGTTTTCCTGTTTTTGTATTGTTTTTAATCAACTTGACACAGAAGGGGCATCTGGGAAAAGAAACCTCAACTGAGAAAATGCCTCCATCAGATTGGCCTGTAGGCAACCCTGTGAAGCATTTTCTTGTTTAATGATTGATATGGGAGGGTCCAGCATGAGCAAGTAGTCCCGAACTGAATAAGTGGGGAGACTTAGCCAGCCATGGAGAACAAGCTGCTAAGCAGCACTCCTTTATGACCTAGACTCCAGTCCCCGCCTTGAGTTCCTGCCCTGACTTCCCTTCAGGATGGACTTTACTGAAAACATTATCTAAGGCATTGCTATACCCATCCCTAATTCTCTCAATATTTATCACTACCCACTCCTATTAACTCTATTAACTTAAGATCACAATGATAGGGTCTGGGTTGCTCAGCAGTTAATAGCACATACTACCTATGCAGAAGATCGGAGTTCAGTACCCCATACCAGGTAAGGACTCTGCCAAGGAGTCCCAGCACAGAGGTAAGAAATTAATGTTCTCAAAGTATAAAGTCTTGGATCACTAACTTAAATTCTGCTCCCAAACATACATCTGAGGTGAGCAGGCATCATGAAAGATCTAGCCTTGTGGCTCCTCAATGCTTCTCTAATCCTCAGAAAAACATCATGGGACAAAGTGATCTTTAAATAACATTTTATGAATTAAGAAACTCCAGGTTTTGTTAAAATCTAGTCATAAAAATCTCATACTCACCCAGGAAGTTTTTAAAATTCAGGTCTAAATAAATACTAGGTAAAAACTCAACACTGATGTAAATACACTGCCTGAATTTGGGGTTTTTTCTAATAGACAACTGGTCTACACGACGGGAACCTTTAGTGTGTCACTCTGAACAAGCCCTCCCTAGAACCTTTGTTGACACACATGCTTCAAAGTCCATCGGTGGCCCCACAGCACAAGCAAGCAAATCAGAGCACACTGCAGCGTCTGTCCTCTCACTCGGCAGGCTGAGCCCGTGTTCACTGGAAACGCAGGCTCTTCTCTCTGCCTCCTCTCCTTCCAGACATATGTCACCTACCTAGCCAGGCCTAAGTCATATACATGGTGATCTTTGTATAAACTCATCTAAAAATGTAGAGCTACTAGTTACAAGTAAGATACCCAAGTTGACAGACTTATAAACTGATATAATCACAGGTGTATCTATACCTTAAAATACAAAAAACTACAAGCTTGAGGTTTCATTGTTAGCTTTTATAAAAGCAAGTAAATTACCAGTAGAGGGCACTCACAAAAGGGAGAAGAGCTGGTCACAGCTTTAAGGAAAACTGCCTAAGTTTCCTTCAAACAAGGCTGCTTTTAAAATAAGATGATTTTCAGGTGAAAATGTTTTAATACAACATTAGAGTAAGATGACACAATGTAGAGCAACCTAACTTTACAAAAGGTGAACTTAAATCTATGTCACACTTGAAAGCCAAAATAAACGTTACTACTGGAGCAGCAATTTGATAATCTGAGCAATGTTTAAAGCTATATGCAGCATGTAATCTCAGAACTACTGATATTCTGACTAGGTCACTCTTTGCTATTTCTAGTTGAGTACTATTGAGGACTTCCCATGAGATTGTAATAACCGTGTCCCACAAGCAAGTTAGTTATTTCTTTGAAAAACTGTATGGACTTCATAAAAGATTAAAAAAATTTCAGAACCGAAGTCAAGATGATTCTCATGTATATCATCTCTAATGTTAGCACACTCTAGGGTCACACCTGTGTAGTCCTCTATTATGTATCTGCCATAAAGCTGTCATTATTGCCGGACGGTGGTGGCGCACGCCTTTAATCCCAGCACTCGGGAGGCAGAGGCAGGTGGATCTCTGTGAGTTCGAGACCAAGCCTGGTCTACCAAGAGAGTTCCAGGACAGGCTCCAAAACAATACAGAGAAACCCTGTCTCAAAAAAACAAACCAAAAAGAAAATAAAAAAAAACCTGTCATTATTAAAGTAGATTCAAGTCACAGAATACTGATAAATAATCTAGAAGATTATTAAATATTTTCTTAGTTTGAAAGACAGCTGGTTTCTCACTTTAAAAAAATACCACAGTGGCCAGGTGACAGTGGCACATAACCTTGACCCCAGCACTCCAGAGGCAGAGACAGGGGGATCTCTGAGATTAAGGCCAGCCTGCTCTACAGAGTGAATTTCAGGACAGCCAGGCCTAGCTACACAGAGAGCTCTGCATATAGAGATTTATAAACTGATATAATCACAAGTTTTATCTGTAGCTTAAAATACAAAAAACAACAAACGAGTTTTTTGAAACTGTTTGGGGGGTGGACAAAAGCAAACAGTAACAACAACAACAACAACACAATAGTGGAAATATCACTTGTTTCCAGAGAGTTTAAATTCAGTCTTACCACTAATTAGATAAATATCCTTAGGCCAGTCAGAGTACCTCACACTTTATAGCTAAAAAACAAATTTTTCACAACTTGTGACAAAAAATAAAATTTAATGACATTATTTAAATTTTTAAAAAACTTCTTGCCAGCTTTTAATGTAGACAAACTAATGGAATTCCAAAGTACAAGCACTTTACCAAAAGACTATAGTCCTAGCCTTTCTTTTATTTCTCACTTTAAGACAGGATCTCACTAAGTTGCCCAAAACGCCCTTGCCTTCATCTGAGGCAGGTCTTGAACTGGAAATCCTTCTGCCTCAGAGTAGTATCTGCCACCAGATCCAGTTCCCATGACTTTTCTCTCTGACCACATTTTTCATCAATTAAAACTGTTTGTATTTAATGAAGTCGCTTTAAGCTCTCTTGCCTTTCTTATAGGTGAACTACCCCAAGAAAACTCCCATGTCAGTTTCCTGGGAGATCTCAGCACAGAGATAAGATAATCTCTGACTTTTCTCCAGGCAGCTATACTACCTGGAGAATGTCAGTTTCAAAGTTCACAGGTCAGAGTGCAGTCTTCTGGCTGGGCAGAAATCATAATCAGAGTTAGAAATTTAAATTTATAAACTTTTCTGCCTTCCTCACACATAATGGGTTGTTAGGTGTACATTACACTTCAGCAAGTTTGAGCTAAAGGTTTCCTAAGCTATTTTATTCTGCATTTCTGACCTCATGCTGTATATATATTCCTGAAGCTTTATGACCTGACAGGAGAAAGCAACATGGAATTGCTCAGATTTTCAAGGAAGATGATCATTTCTGTTGAAATCACCTTCCAAATCCCGGAGGAACTTTCACGCTTCCCGTGCATTTTATATTTGATTTAAATGGTAAGAAGTACCAAGTAACCATGGACTTAGATACCAATCAAAATGGGTGAACTTTTTGATCCTTCTCAAGGAAAACAACAGAACTATGTACAGCACTGAACTGACTTGTCAAATAAACGTATAAATAATACTACAGAGGAGGTGTACTACCTATGCTTAAGTCACATCTTCACAAATGAGCGTTCTGCTCTGGTTTTTGGAGGATTATGCACTACTAAAATTATTTGACACTTCCTAACAGTTATTTAATCAACTTTCAATGGTCTAAGTTACATAAACATTTTCCAAGCTCACCAGTGCCTTCAAAACCCATCTCAGCGCAGTGCTTCTTCAAGACACACAGACCCCTAACAGGGCACTGTGACCTACTTAAGATTTCATAGCTAGGGACTCCAGAGCTTTAGAAAATTCTTCAGAACTTATCTTTTTTATTGGTACATGAAATAGGGATGTAGAGGGCAGAGGGCAAAGGACCGCCCAGCATACCCAAAGCACGGGTCTCACTCCCCAGCACAGCCCAGCATACCCAAAGCACGGGTCTGACTCCCCGTACTGCCTAGCATGAGCAGAGGCACACGGGCCACTCAGGAGGCAGAAGCTGGAGGACCAGGACTTCATGCCAGGCCTCAGCTACCTGAAGGCCCACCTCGGGGTACATTAGACCCAATCTCAAAAAACTATAAGTGGAAATTAGAACAAAAAATAAAAGCTAGGGACTGGGATGCAGTAAAGATGCCTAAGAAATAATCTAACTTTAATGAAGGCGATTTCAAAAGCAAGGTAACATTTATTTCTTGCTTCACGGATGCTAAGTTTAATGTATTTAGATCACACATAAGTGAGTGACCTTGTGGAAACAAGTGAACAAGCCGAGTTAAGGAACACCCTCCTGCTGGTCTTAAAGGGTGAATAAATCCTTCTCTGCTCTGCAAAACTTGAACCTATTGTCAGCAACAGGACATACCACCTGACTTTTCAAGATCTCTTCCAGGTTTTAATTTTATTATCTAGCAGTTGGCCTTTAATTGACTAAGATTTAATGAAATAAAAAACAGCTAGAATAATCCTGACGATCTTACTCATCAAACTGTATTAAATTTAAAAACCTCAACTATCAAATGATTCTCTTTTTCTAGTATAATCAAATTTTCTGCGTCACATCAAAATAAGAAACCCATTAAAATAAAATGCATTCAAAAGAATAACTTGCACTGGGCATAGTGGTACACATATTTATTTATTCCTAGCATTTGGGAGCTTGGTCTATATAGTGAATAGTGTGTTCTAGGATAGTCAGAGCTACATGACTCAAAAATGCCAGAACAAAAACAAAAACCTGCAGGTACAGATCAAATGCAAAGCTATATTCTCATCTCTCACAAAACCATGAAATATATACTTATCACACAGTGGGCACCTTGGACCTTATTCTCTATGACATTCTCTTGAGAGCCTTGCATCTATGGCTACGTATCACTTAGTTTAAAGCCTTGAAACTAAAGGACATCACATATAATTGAAATAACTTGCAGTATAATTTTCTAATATATACAAAAATGATCAGAAGTATCTTTTTTTAAGCAAAGGATGAGCATCCCACACAAACCATATGTAGAACACAAAGCAAGATTTACCTCTATCGTAGGATCATATTCATCCACAAAGTGATTCTGAATTAGCTGTATCGTCAAGGCACTCTTGCCTACGCCACCAGCTCCAACTACCACGAGTTTATACTCAGTCATTTTCAGCAGGCCTTATAATAAAAATAATGAAAATGTAACTAAATTAGAACATGTCTCACACAAGATGATTATACAGTCTATCAATATTTTAGCCCTTGAGTACCTATAAATATAAAACTCCAAGGTATTCTGAGATTATGACTGCAGATGCACACAGGCGCAAGCTGTACTTATTTATTACAACTCCCCTCACACACAACAATAACACGGGGAAAGCAGGCTCTTTGGTCCTGTATTCATTCAGCTTGTTTGATCAAACAGTCAGACTGCTGCTTTGTAGCAGCTAATGGCTCTCAAAGGAGTGACTTCACTAAGCTGAGTACCCTGCACAGTGCTCTATACCCTGTGGACACACCCGCACATGCTTGCTGACAGCTATCTCCTGCCCACCCCTGCAGTACTCCTTGAGGACTGGATATGAGAAGTTACAAGTAGGCAGCCTAAGAGCATCTGTGCTGGAGACAGCAACTGCAGAAATCTGTTTTAAAGTCATCATAATAGTTCTCCTGTGACAGGCAACAAAACGGTCTGCTGTGGAAACTGAACTGTTGTTGGGAAAGAAACACCTAGGCAATGAAACAAACAAGGATAGCATCTGATGGCATTTTAATCTTCAAGGTACCTGTGGGGACACAGAGGTTAAAAAGTAGGAGAGTTTTAAGGATCTGGGATCAGTAATAATACATAATCCTATATGTGTACTAAAAACCAGTACCTCTGTACAAGAAAATGAAATTGAGTAAAACTCAGAGATAAACAGCACTTTTTGGCAAGAAAAAAAAACTGGAGGATGTCAAGAGTTTCTCAGCAACCCCGCCACTTTCACTCTGCTCGCAGTAGGCTGGTTCCCAACAAGGGCAGCAAGTACTAGCAGTACACACAGGTGACAGTCCCCAAGCAGAAAAGAGGCCCAGTACTGTCTCAGTTGCTATCCCAAAGACTTCTAGATAAAGTGAACACATTCGTTCTATCTCCTCCCCCTCATATACTACATATTACTACAAATAAAGGGGGACACGGATGTAAAGGAATGAATGGCAGTAAAGCCACAACTGTAGAATAAATAGTCCCAGGTCAATGTACGTATATAGAGTGTAAAGAAACCCAAAATACAGTCTCCTTGTCCATGACCAAGAAGCACTCACCCAGGCACACCGTCCTCCTCGCTGCGTACCTGAGCCCCTCAGTAGCTGTCCCACAAGGTCAGGGAGCCACTGTTATCAGACCTCCATCCAACTCCCTGCCCTACTTTGCCCCGCCTATCCTTTCCTGCCGCTTGTGGGGGCATCCTGGGAGCCATTTCTAAGGTAACTTACCTGTTTGCCCTAGAGTTTTATAACAAATGTGGGCCGTGGCAAATGGGACAGATGAAAAGAATCACATGGAAATGTGACCTTTGTCCGTCCCTCCCTCCCACAAATACTGTGGCTAGAGCACAAGAGCAATGTAGGAACCCTCTGGGTTCCTAAGACTTCGTGGTAAGGAACAAGAGGTTAAAACTATTTTTATAGCAATTGTTTCTTAGCTTTCTTACTACATGTTTGCAAGTTCAGGTGACTTTCTGGGCTTCAATGGCAATAAAGAGAATGCAGACATGGGGGTCAAGTTGGAGAGAACGCAATTACCCCCTATGAAGACATGCAATTAAGCGGGTTGCTGATGGGTGAAAGAAACAACGGCACTCCTCTCCTTATTTTGCTTTTTAGAAGTTACTTTCCACTAAAATTGCGTGCCTGTTACCAACAGGCATGCTATTTCTAGTTCTAAGTGAGTTGGAAAATAAGAATTGTTGCTCTAACATGGCAGATACCGGTGTGTCACCCCAGCAAGGATTCTGGATACCCTCGATAATTGTTTAAGGGTGCAAAGAGGTCCTACGGACGTATGTGTTGGCTAACATAGGGGCACAATGCAGACAGATACCGGGTCATGTGTGTGATGAGAGACTTCTCCGGGGAATTATTTACACACTAGTTTTGGCAGAAAATAAAAACTCTCGGAGTCGGGACTTTAAAACCTGGTAATATTTACGTCCACCAGAAAGAAGTCTTATTCAAGGAAGATCTTAAGCCAGAAAAGAGTCCCCCATCACTGCCACCCCCAGTTACAAAGACAGTAAAGTGTGATTGGACTAGACTCCAACAGTTTTGCTAATGACAAAAAAAAAAGGTCTGAAATTAAATTACTGGCATCTCTTAAGACCAAGGATGCTTGAGGGCTTGAGGATGGCCACAGTCTCAAAGTTAACTACTCGGACACCAAGCATCTTTGACGTCTATTGTCTATCACATGTGGGGCCAGCAACCCGGCCCTTCCTGGAAGACGGACACCAGTCATACGGTTAATCCCTGAGTGATGCTGGCGATCAGACTTTTTCCTTCCAGCCTGTCTTCCTCGGGTGGTTTCTCCACCACAGACACAGCGGGTCGCTCTGTTTTTTATCTCCTTGCCTTGCCCTGCTTTAGAATCAAGCTCTAACAAGGCTGCTGGCTCGGGACTTGGGCTGTAACGCACCGACCGGCTCGAGAGGGTTCCCCCGCCCCGAGGTCCGCCCGGGGACCAAGAACTCTGGAGTCGGTCTGTTAAGGGCAAGGGACAACCCAGGCTGCGGGGGACAGGGCGGCAGCAGGCGGCTCCAACCCGAAGCCCTGGGAGCCAGCCGAGCTTGCCCGCGCTGCACTCGGGGGCAGCCCCCCTGCCTCGGCGCCCGCCGCCTCCTCGGCGCTGTCCCTACACAAAAGCCACCCGGACTGGCCGCTGCAACTTTTCTGCTTCCCGCTGCTGCTGCTGCGGGTCGCCGCGGGCTCTCTCCGCGCGGGGAGGGCGTGGGCCACCTGTTCTGCCGCCGCCGCCGCCGCTACCTCCACCTCCTCCTCCTCCTTTGTGGCCGCGGCAATGTCACAGCCCCACCGGGGCGTGGGGGAGGGGAGCGGTCGCGAACTCGGCGGCGGCAGAGGCAGCCCCGCCGCCACCCCAGCCCCGGGCCCCCCGAGAGCCACGGGGAGGGACCTCGGGCCGCCGGGTGCGAGCGCTTCCCCACCCTCCTACCCCCCTGCCCCGCCGCCACCTCCCCGGGGGGCTCGCACCCGGCCGGGGCGCAGCCCGCGCTCGCTCATTCGCTCGCCCCACAAGTTGAGCCGCCGAGCTCCGGGCGGGCGCGGATGCCGGGCGCTGCCGAGGCCGGGCGGGGAGAGGCCCGGGGCGGCGCGGAGGGAGGGAGGGAGGGAAGGGAAGGAGGGCCGCCCGGCCGCGGCCCGCAGCGCAGGAGGAAGCCGGGCTCCCCCCGTCCAGGAAGCGGCGTCCGCCCGGCCTGGGCGCCCCGCGCCCGCCTCCCCGGAGCCGGCTTCATTCAGCGCCGCGCGCCGGGCGGCCCCGCCCGTCCGCGCCGAGCTCGGCGCCGGGAGGGCAGCGGCCCAAGCAGCGCCACCGTCCGCGCCCGCCCTACCTCTCTCTCCGCGCCGCGGAGCCGCCGCGCCTCAGGCTCCCGCCGCCGCCTTCAGGCCCGCGCCGCGCTCGCTCCGGGTCCGAAATGGCGCGGGAGCCGGACTCCGGGCCGAGCCGCAGCCGCCTTCCTCCGCCGCCGCCGCCGCCGCCGCCTCGGCCGCCGCCACCGCGCTGCCTCCTCAGCCGCCGCGGCCGCCGCCTGCCCAATCGAGCGCCGAGCGCGCGATAGGCCCCGGCGGGCGGGCGGGCGGGAGGCCGCAGAGAGCAGGGCGATCGATGCGCTCGGCGCTCCGCGCTGCCTCGGCCGCGCGCGCGCGCGCGCCCGCGGGCGCGGGAGCGAGGAGGGAGGGAGGAGCGAGCGGCCGGCGCGGCGAGGGCGAGGGCGGGAAGCGGCGGCCGGGACCGGCCTGGGCGGCGCGCGAGCGAGCGAGCGAGCGAGCAAGGGTGGTGCCGGGGAGGCGCTGTCCCGCGCGGACCCCCGACCCCAGGCTCGCGCTCCGGCTCGCCCCGCCTCTCGGCTCGCACGGGGCGGCCTGGTCCCCCACCCCGGCCGCTCCTCGGGGCGCGCACAGTGCAGCCGGGGGCGGACCCCGGCCGCTCTCCCCGGGAAGCCTGCTCGTCGTGGCTGTGCTGGACGGTCTGCAGCTTGTAGCCCCCGTAACCCGGACAGGGTCTGTCGGTGTAGACCAGGCTGGCTTCCTGGCCCCGGAAAGCACAAGCAGAGCTGGTTTTTGCAAGAAGTGATCCTCGCTCGGCCGGACGGATCTGAGGGGACCCCCCCGGACGTGAGGCAGAAGACGTTCCTTCACCCGCTCACATCCACGGGGTGGAATCAAGGAACCTGCATTCCCTCCCAGAGACTGCACTGATGCCCCGTGGAGCAAACCCCACCGATCCAGGCCCGGGGAGCCAGGGTCAAGGCTCAAACGACTGCCCACCCACCCGGCAGACGGTGGAACCGGTGCGCGAGAACCCTCAAGTGACATCAGCCAGGCCAGCCGTCGCTCTTTGTACCCCTCCTACCCCTCCCAGCGCGAGGTGGGAGGCCCTGGAGACAGCCGGGTCAGGGAGGAAGGTGCCCACTCGGTGTCGAGTTACCTGCTACATGTTTTGCACATAATGCTGCTTAAGGATCACCCTACCCTTAACCCTCACGAGTCGCCTCTGCTGTCTCTCGGGTGAAGAAAGACGTGGGCGTCTACATTCACACTGCTAAGCTGGACCACCCTACCTGTCCCAGCAGCTCCGGCTGCCTTGAGCTCCCCATCGGCTCGCATTCCACTTAACATGAAAGCAAAACCCTCCTAAAATTCTGCCCTGCCTTAGATTGTTGGCTACCCGTCTTCTTCCCTTTCTCAAGCATCCGCACCTCCTTTTGTCATGCCTTCACGTTGTCTCCGGGCAGCACTTCCAAGAGGGGAGGCTGCCTCCCTGCCCTGAAGCTGTTGTGGCCCTGGTCTGCAGTGCTGTCAATCCCCAGTGCCTCCTCTCCGGTCATGCTTACAAGTCTCTTTTTCCTTAAATGAGGTCTTCCTTAAAGGACATCTTTGATAACTGAGTGTCCCCTCAACCCCCGAATTCTACTGTTTATTCTTCTCCAGAAAACTTAGCACCATTTGTGATCCGTCTTAGTATTTCATTTTCTTTCCCTGTTTTGAGACAGGATCTCTGTGTCCAAGCTGTACTCAAACTCACAGAGCTCGTCCTGCCTCTGCCCCCCGACTGCTGGGGTTAAAGGCGCGGGGCACTATGCCCAGTTCTCCTTTGACTTTCTGAACTCTTGTCTTTTCCCCATCCAAGTATAAACCAGGAGAGCAAGGATTCTGTTGTTTTGTTTCGTGGACTGTTGAAGCTCTAGTCCCTGTCGCCGTGCCGAAACAAATAAGACAGTCAGTAAAGACGGGACATGCTGAATGAACACTCTAGACACCCCTTTCTGAACCCGGAGACTTAATACTTGCTTAGTGCTCTTTAAGCCTTTGTCACCTTGTGAAATCGGCTTTTATACACACCGAGGTCACCTTGTGATGAGCCGCATCTTAGGCTGGCGAGAAAACCAGATACTTCCTAAGGAGCACCGAGTTTGTTAAGTGAATGTGTGCTTATTCGATCGCTGTTTGTGTCACATCACAGCTGTATTCTGGGCTGCTTAAGTCCTTGGTGAGCCTCGTTCTCTCACAGGTGCTAATGCAGTGTCCTCCTCTGCAGCTGGTCCTCTGTTAATCATAAAAGGGCTGCAGCCTCTGGGTAGCATTTAGATGGTGATGATAAAAATTCTGGCAGCAGCAGAAATCTAATCCATCCGCAGGGTCTCAGTTACCGTCTTGACTCACGGTTCCCAAAACGAGAACCTGTTGTAGCTTCGTTTCTGTTGCTGTGATAAAAAAAAAAAAAACCTGACCAACAGCAACCCAGGAGGAAAAGATACGTTCACCTCGAGCGTCACTGAGGGGCGTCAGAGCTGGAACTCAAGCAGGATTCTTGGGGGAGCACTGCCTGCCGGCCCACTCACTCCCGAGCTCATACTTAGCTAGCTCCCAAGGGCCGCCTGCCTAGGGATGACGTTGCCCACAGTGGGCTGGACCCTCCTGCATCAATAAACAATCAAGGAGATTCCCACCTCCTCCAGCCTCAGACATGTCCACTTCCTGTCTGGTCTGGGTCGTCCCTCACTGTAGGCTTGCCTCTCAAGACGACTCCAGGCTGTTCCAAGTTGACAACTAAAGCTAGGCAGGGCAGTCCCCACTGTTGGTCCTGTGCACCAGCTCCCCATCTTCACCCCCCAGAGGACCCCTCCTTTCATCCCCACACTGGGCCTCTCCACCATCCGTGCCCTGGCGCCGCCTTAGCAGCCGCCCCATCCCTCGGCCCCGGGATTTTTCCCAGTACCGCAGAGTTGACAGTAGCAGGGCCCAAGACGGGGAAGGGGGTGCAGGTGGGATTTGGGGCTTTGGGTGCTTCCGAAATCACCTGCCATGCTTACGGAAGTCCAAATTTCTAGCCTTCCCCCTCCCACAACACACACACACACACACACACACACACACACACACACACACACACACACACCCCAGGTATGGCATGCAACTGATCAGAGGACCAGAGATCTTCACTTTTAGCAAACCAAACGATGCCCACTTGGCAGTCAGCCATCGGCTCATTGACACTCAAGTCCTTGGCAGCCATCCCGTCTGCAACTGTCTTCGGGGGTTGCTCTCCTCCAAGCCTGGCGGCTGCTCTAGAGATGTCTACCTGTCTGCCTGTTTCCAGACTCTTCCCTGAGAGCATGCACGCAGGTAGACGCCAGGTAAGGAAGAGGGACACGCATGGACGGTGCTGTGGGGCACTGGGGAATATTTGTTTACACTGTGAAGGTGTGTCTTTGCCCCGAGGCTCCTCCTCATGGACTCAATAAAGAGTGGAATGGCCAGTAGCTAGGCAGGAAGAAACAAGGCGGAACTTCCAGGGACAGAGAGGACTCTGGGAAGAAGAAGGGCGGAGACGGCAGCCAGAGCGGAACAAGTCGGATGCAGAAAGGGGCAGAGGTAAAAGCCATGTGGAGTAATAAAAGAAAAATGTGTTAATTTAAGTTATAAGGGCAAGTTGAAAACAAGCCTGAGCTAAAGGCAAGTTTTCATAATTAATAATCAGACTCCGTGTCTTTATTTGGGAGCTGGTTGGCGGGACAGAGAAGGACTTGTTAACAATGGCTTGCTGCAAGCTGTAACTGGTTTCTGTCCTCTGTAGTTAGCAGCGTCTGGAGAGGGAGTTGCACGTGCACACTCACACAGCCTTTTGATCTGTCTGCTGAAGGTCACCTGACCCCTCCCCATGCCGCATACTCTTCTGCAGATAGAATCAAAGCCAAGCAACAGGAGTATCATGTGTTTCTTGGGACTGTGAAATTCTAGGACACCACACCACAAATGTGGTCAGCCAAAAAACTATTGTTCTGTCCAGGAACAACTGCTTCTTATGGTTCAATGATGGAGTAGAAAGCCTTACCCAGCCTTCCTTGGGAGGCATCTATTTCCTGTAACCCTGGCAATCCTGTTCACGAGCCAGCCTTTCTGAGCTTATTCTCACACGGTCTCTTCCACTCTGTCTTGGCTTCTCGTGTCCAAACTCTGTAACATTCAGCGCAATCTGACAGAAGGAGGGTCTGCCTGTGCTGTGTCTGTCACTCACTGGGTAGTAAGGGCAGACGCTGTGGGGCGGTTTCTCTGATGAGTGTGTGACCATCTTTGTATCAACTAAAGACCACTAACCTTCGTTTGTGTGCAGACAATTTGGCCAGAATAAGAAGACATGATTAATTTTGTCTCCTTAAACCATGGTCAAAGATAAGCCTCTCCTCCCTCATGTTGTTTCCAATGAGAAATGACATCAGGACACCATCTGAACCAAATCCATCTTCCTCTTTGAACTACTTCCCGACTGATGGGGAGTATTCTGTGCATATGTTTATCTTATTGGTTGATAAATAAAACACTGTTGGCCAATAGGGCAGCAAGATAGGCGGGACTAGGATATGAGGAGGATTCTGGGAAGTGTAGGCAGAGAGGAGTCATCATGTGATCCCAGGAGGTGACATAGCTGGGCAGAAACTGCCACTAGCTAACCATAGAGGTCTGGAGGTGTGTACAGACAGGCAGGGAATGATGTAGCTGGGCAGAATCAGGATATAAGCAGGGAGAATCAGGAACTCGCTCTCTTCTCCGCGGAGATGCTCCAACAGTCATGGTGTAGCAGGCCAAGGAGTTGCAGGTCTGGCATTCTCTGGTAATCCAAGACCAATAAGATAAACATATACACATGGAAATCATGGAAATACATGGTCTAATAGAAATGGGTTTAGTAATTAAGACAGAGCTAGACAAATTAGAAGCTCAACCCACCAGGCAACAGTTTCATTAATACAGCTTCTGTGTGCTTACTTGGGACAGAGAAGGGCGGTGGAACCTGCCAGGCCAAAAAAACCTCACGTTTTACCTGACTGGCATCCTGGCACTGGACTTGAAAACATAATTTTTAACGTGTTTTCCCATTTGAAGTAGTTACAGCTCCTTTAATTATGTTTTACAAGAAGTTATTTTTATATATTCTTTGTGTGTGTGTGTGTGTGTGTGTGTGTGTGTGTGTGTGTGTGTGCTGTAT